AGTAATCTCACTCAGTCTATCTCTGTCTTGTCCAACTAATTGTTGTGTCTTACAAATAGTATATCTATGTAACTGCATAGTCTTCCATTTTAAGTATTAATTAATCTGTAAGTATAATTTCAGATTGCAAGAGAAATGGTCATTAGTCCCCAAAATGCGAGACTAGGTCTCACTCAACTGGTAAAAAAGATTGGAATGGTGGATTTACCGGATAACCCAGACGGCGAGCTGATAAAATACCGGGTATATCCATTTATCACAGACTCGTACTTTCCCATTTGTATTGATCTCTCACATTCTCTGTATCTCATTGCATTCATTTTTCTTTCATGATAAATGTCAGTGGGACCATCCTCATGTAATGCCAGCAGATATGTCTGTTGAAGTATCTGAGCTATTCACCCGCGAGTTAACAAGGGTAATCTTTATTTGACTCTGCATTCTTAATCTTAATCATACTCTCCCATGTGGATAAAAGCTTGAAACATATATATGGGATTTGAATGTTGGTGACAGTATATTGAGGAGACTGAAGAGCTTGCGATGAATGCTCTGAGAGCAAACAGGCACATTCTGGACTTAATCACTAGAGAGTTACTCGAACGGTCAAGGATTACTGGATTGGTATGGTTTCTGAAACTTCATTGACTTTGTTATCTTATCTACTTATATGAACAAACAACCTCAGACTAACAAGTTTTCTTTTCATCTTGTAGGAAGTTGAAGGCAAAATGAAGGATCTTTCTCCTTTGATGTTTGAGGATTTTGTGAAGCCGTTCCAGATAGACGCAGATGAGGTACGTAGTTTATTATATTTCATCTTCTTGTCCCATTTTAAGTCTAGAAGCGGAATCCAATTATTGAATATTTTCAGGAGGAACCTTTGCCTCACAAGGACCGAGTGAGCTACCAACCAATTGATTTACGTCCTGCACCACTGCACAGAAGCTAGAAGCCTTTACTCCTCTCCTGTCACCAAAAAGATAGTCCTTAGAGGCAAATTGTTCCCAATATCTTGGAGAGCGAATGTTCGTCTTAAATGAGCTTTAGATTTTGCATATGATAGTACTTGTTTCACCCATCATTGGTTTAGAATGTTATATATATAGTAACGTGCAGAGTCAAATTTTGTACTCTGTTTCTGTCTGTATTTTGATGATATTGTAACATTATTATTAGTGTAAGTTCCCATCAAGGAGTATCTCGCAAGTTTCCAGCTTTGAATTTGTATATCTGCGAACTCCTTTTTTTCATCATAAGTAAAGCCTATTTTTCCTCTAGTTAAAGTTGTAAACTGTGACCAAAAAAAAAAAAAAAAAAAAGTTGTAAACTTTATAATCATACTAGTGGAATTTAGGCGCTACATTGGTTTTAAAAAGTATTTGAGCGAAAGTTACATTGTAGAGACTGTAGCTTATAGTATATCACTAATCTCTTAACAATGGCTATAAACCTTTAAGTAAACCAAAGCTACTCTAGATAAGAGAGAGACAATGATGATCAAAGGGAAACACAATTGAGCAATAGAGAGTCATGTTGGAAAAGAAAAAAAAATCTATTGAAATAACTTAATAATGATAATTCTAAAAATAATAATCTTAGTAAATAGAATTGTCTCTAGAATTTTCACCCATTAATCTAAACCGAAATCAAGATGAAGTAGCCCAGCTAAAATATCCAATCGGCTTGAGAGGTAGAATAAAGAAGCCGAGATGATGCTGAAACTTTTCATCAGGGTTGGGAACATTGTCGATGTATACCTCATCAAGGCAAATCATATCCTGTATCAAACTACAATAGTCTCCCCAATTTTCAGTTATGCTTAAAAATGTTAATGCAAGGGGAATCTATCACCAACGACCCAATGTGATCTCTCTCTTCCTCTTGCCACCTGGTCTCATAAAATAATCTTTGCAATGAAGGCACTTTCACGGTAAAGTTTGTCAAGTTGTCATCCTCATCAGGTCGTTCAACAACCAGTTGGAAGAGAACATGGGAACTTGATAAAAGCCTAGCAAGAGAGTCTTGATACAGATATAAGAGAGATGGTAGGCTAGCCGGGAAAGAAACATCGATAAGAATCTGGTTGGATAGATATAAAGAAACGAGTGTGTCGCATGTGTAAAGGCTCTTAGGGAAGCTTGTGGGCTCTCCTCCCCAGAGGAGCTTGAAATCTAACTTTTTCACACCGTGGTTAACTGCCATCTACGTCAACAGGACATCGTGGGCCCAGTTCGACAACCAGGCTTATTAGTTTCGGTGCCTTATGGAGATGCAGTGACTTGTCAATAAACCACCCAATGCTCTCGCTGCCTTGGTCGTCTTTGAAGGATAGTTTAGGCAGCATCTTCCACACGTAACGCCATCGTTTAGACAAGATCGCAGTGGCCACTGCATCTTTGGTCGGGACGAGGAGTAAGATACACAATAGCAAATCCTCCGGCAAATCACATATTCTCTGACAACCTTCGGTTTCTGGATCAATCTTTGACAAACCCATATAGAGTGCCAATGCTGAAAGTATACAGAACAGAGTAGAAGAAATGGGCTTACAAAATAATGAAGGCCCACTACAAGAAGAAAAAGTATCAAGCCCAAGTGAAGCTCAAGGAACAGTACCACGTGATACTTGTACGAAAAGCAGAGCACACAATTGCAGAGTTGAAGCTGTTGATACAAAAAGACAAAGTTGGAGAATGACGAACACCTACTCTACTCCAGTCCCAAGCGTGTGAAAGGACGAAGATCACACGGTGTAGAAGGATCCAGAACTAGGGTTTCAAGTATAATCCTTGTATATATAGACATGAAACACCGATTGTAAAGAACAAGTGAAAGGAATACAAAGTTCACATTTTAAAAAAAGTTTGTCTCTTTCAGTGTCTAAATTCTTTCTCTTCGTGTCTTTGGTGAGTGTGTGTGTAATGTCTGAAATGTCTAACAAATGCAACAAAACCCTATTTCCTCTCTATACGAGACTGTTACGGAAAAAACTAAATGATACAATACCTAACGTGAATCTTACGGCAAGCTCGAAGAAAGGGTAAATCAGAGACTTAGAGGATGATCACGGTGGATGAAGGATCAACCGAAGTACAGTTATTCGATGATGGAAGAAGATATGTAATTCTCTGTGGTAAATCATCTTTGTAACAATTTTCAGAAACGACAAACGGAATTAAATTTTCATAACTTGAAATAAAATAATAAATCCAGGGTTTTAAAAAAAAATGCAAAACTTGCAAAGTTATAAAAAGCACAAACATGCATGTAATATATTTGAGGAGACTGAAGAACTTGTTATGAATGCTCTGAGAGCAAACAGACACATTTTGGATTTAATCACAAGAGAGTCAATGGATTGGTACACTTTATCAAACTTCAATGACGAAGTGAATTATGATATTCTATGTGCACAGATGCTCTGAGTAAGAAACCCTTTACAAGCTTTTTTTTTTTTCCAATATGAAAAAACTTTTCCTGTTGTGAAACAGAATGCCCTGTAAATGGTTGATCCGTGTATTCAACAGGGAGAAGAACAATTTGCGACCAACTGAAATATAATTTTCATTTTTTTTCTTGTTTTTTGTCAAAGAAAAAAAAAGGGAAATGAGAAAAGGGTCAAGAAACACAGTATTAAAAGTGGAAACCGAAAAATATAAAGAATTGGGCTCTCTTTTTTGCTTTTTGTAATCGTTTTTTCGCTGCACATAATCAAAAGAAAGGTTTTTCATTTGGAAGCCCTGTGAGCTGGTGGCTTGGATTGGGTCGAAGTCGCTGCAGATGACATAACTCGCAAGCGGCCAGCTATTTCTGTGAAAGATGGTCTTGCGATTGGGTTTGGCGCCCAACATTCTTCCATTAGTGTTCTCCATTCATCGTCACAGAAGGCCGGTATGGTTGGCCTCAGTGTGTTGTTCACTATCCCACCTGCACTTTCACAATCAAGTACTCAGCATCCTCTTTAACTTCATACCGACACATGAATGAAAGAATGAACAGGCGGAAACCCAGATAGACTGTGAGTTACTTGCAACGTACCTATTATGGCCCCATAGTGCATATTGGCATACGGTTCCTCTCCGGTCAGAATCTCCCATAGAACAATACCAAAAGAGAAAACATCAACCTGCGGGCAAAGAACAACAATATGAAGGATTTCCTCTATTATAGATCTCATAGTTTGTTTGCATTCTCAGTCAGTATATACTACGAGGCCATGCAATAACATCAGATCCTCTTCTCAAAAAACTTAACATAAGATCCTTCTCAAAGTTTTGCCTTTCCGACTCATGCAAAGGATTCATGATTTTCGAAGTTAAAATAGCTATTGGATATTCACTGCGCATTATATTATGAATGCTCACCTTTTCTGAAACTTTGCTGCTGCTCCCATTTAGAAGCTCTGGTGCCATCCACGGTAAGGTTCCACGTACACCACCAGATACCAATGTATTTCTCTTGATTTTTGACAAACCAAAGTCACCAACCTGAGGTGGATTAGCATGTGGATATTAATATCATTTGTTCTAACATCATCTTAAACTGAGTTATTCTACAGAAGGATCCACCCAAATCGTGTTACCTTGCAGATTGGGCGAGAAGGATCTTTCAAGTTTACAAGTAAATTATCACATTTCAAATCGAAGTGAACAGTGTTTTTGGAGTGCAAATATTCCATTCCAAATGCAGCATCCATGGCAATGATTAGTCTCCTACGACGGTCAAGATGCCTGGTAATGTAAATAGAAGAAAAGAGTGCATACGTTAAATGAGTTGGAACCCATCAAACAGATATCAGAGGACCCAATAAGCAGAACTTTACCTGTCCTTCCGGACCAGAACATGCCTCAGAGAACCATCAACCATGTACTCTGTCACAGTCGCCAATGTCCCCCCAGGCCCGTCTTTTACAACACCATAAAATGCTACCACATTTGGGTGATGAAGTTTTGAAAGAATTTCAGCCTCCCCCCAGAATTCACCAGTCTGCAGCAATCAGGTACATATCAACCAGAGTAATATGACAAATCAACATGTGACATGTATATTAGGCATGGCCACCTGGATAATGCATAAGACATGATCCGCAAACAACTTACCAATCGCTCTTGCTCTGATGACCGCCCAGCAAAGCAACTCTTCTTTATCCTCTTGATAGCGACATCTGATCCTCGCCATTTCCCATGGTACACCGTTCCAAAAGTACCAGAACCAAGCTCCTTCAACTCTTCAAGATCTTCATTCTTAATGATCTAGTGATATGTAAAAGTATATTATTTTAATATGTAAAAAAAAACATAGAAAAACGACTCAGTAGAAACACATGGGGGATAGAAGCAGGGACTTGTTTTGACAGAAGTACCACAAGAAATGAAACACTGAAACTGTATAATGAAGCAATGACACACAGACAAAAATAAGAAACCAAATGTAAGCACACCACTCAAGAGTTAAACGTAATGCTGATTCTAATAACATATCTGAAACTGTAAGAACCACTGACATGGGCCCATTTCCAATGTAGATAGTAAATGTTTATCAAGTGTTTTTTAGAGCTCTTCATACCTGCAAGCCACTGTAGTCAAACTCTGAGCCAAGTGGAGGAACCGCAGCATGCCTTGTTTCTGTCTTTTCATCCTATAAGTTCAATCCTAGTTAGCAAAACTTGTGGTTTTGGGGATATAAAATAAAAGATGCCACTAAGTCATACATTTGGTTCAGAATCTGGCGTCCTCAGGTTCTCCACCATAGCACCAAATTCTTCGCTCTCTGTGACCTTCATCTGTTCACCCTCCACAGTAGGGAGAATAGTGCTAGTGCCACCCCTGTCCTTTTTAGAAAAATGATCCCCATAATCTCGACCCAAAGTCAACTGAGGATCCGCGAGGTTTGTTGAGATACTATCTCTACACATTGGTGTGACGTGATGCAATCTGGAGCTCTCTCCACCATCTTTAAGGTCAGATGGAAAGTGAGAATCAGCTTGGTCAATACTCGCAACATCTCTTTGGCTAAACTGTTCTTCAGCCAGCTGCTGAAAATACGACCAATTTTTAGGATCATGATTCTGCACATTCATGCTAACAGCAGCTCCATCATGAGGATACGGATGGACAGCAGATGTATCCTCTGAGATTGCCTTTGAGAATATTTCAGAAAGGAAGTCACGAGGAAACCGATCATTGATATCGATAAGAATATCTCCTTGGAGCGAATCAGAACCGCGAGTAGAAGCTTGCTCTTCAGGGATAACACGACTCATGGCTGCATTTACATGGCTCGAGTTGGAAACACCAATCTCAGTATCTGCCCCATTGACTACTCTGTTCTTGTTTGCATCATCAGGATTTGTTATTTTACGCAAGGGCTCGGAGTCCAACGTATTATCTGATCCCCCCACTTTTTCAAAGATTGTCTCAACATCTTTATGTTTTTGGTGGGTCGCATCACCATTAACAGTATGGGAATCTTCTTGTGACTTTCCGACTGCTTCTTTTGCTGGATCTTCCTGTGCAGTGTTCGTTTGTGCCTGAGACGTTAGCAACTGAGAGCCTAGTGAGTTATCCGATTTCGACAACCGAGTTAGCAAATCTAACTGTTCACGAGGAATTCTCTCTGAACGATATACCCTCTGTGGAGGCTCAACGGGCTCCGGGTAGTTAAGATCAATTAGATTTGACTCAGAATCCTTATGAACGGGACCACATGTACCACTTGAAGTTGAAAGCTGATCTTCATTACCAGATAGAGGAACCTGCCCAGCAATAACAGCATCACGGTAGGTAGTAGGCTTTGCAGGATCGTTCAGCCGTGCGTCTCTTCTAGGGGGCAGTAAATGTGCCTCCTGGCTAGGTGCAGTTGTTGCAGCTGACACCTCCCGAACCTGATTATGATTCCTCACCTCAACATCATCTAATTGAGGAGGATTCTGGTGATCCTTTGCCAACGTTTTACGGTTTTCAGGCTCAACATGCTCATGAACTTTCGAATCAGGTGATACTTTTTGCTCCTCTACTAGGGCTTGTGTGCTTTGGGGTGTAGTGCCAGGGTACGGATACCCTTCAGCCCAGCCACCTTGCTGATTGACATGCCCTTGGAGCGGTATGGAACTGGTAGTTTCCGCGATACCGGAGTAGTTAGAATTGTGACCATACAAAGGAAACCGCTCTCGTTCTCCATGTTGAACCACGTGCCCGTAATACTGCGGGTATATTCCATAGGAGCTGGCAGACCCTGGTGTGATGGATTGTGGATACTGAAAAGAGGAGTCTGGCGTAATAGATTGGGGATATTGAAGAGAGGAATTCGGGTGAATGGACTGGGAATAATGAAGAGCAGAACTTGGTGGAACAGATTGCTGCAACTGATATGCAGCATTGGGTGGAATAGATTGAGAATACTGAAGCGAAGAGCTTGGTGGAATAGACTCGGACTGTTGACCAGAGGATTGTTGGAAGCCATCTGCCATCAACTGCGGTGCGCTAACTCCAACAACGTTTCCAGCAATGTTATTGATCCCGTCGGTGGTGTTCCGTACACCGAGCTCAACTAAATTGTTTGCTGAAGAGCTATCCAGCCCATGAAGGGTTGAGTTCCTTCCTGATCCGATGTCCATGCCATTTACAGCTACAACATATTGGAACTCAGAGTCACCATCATTTTTGTTAGCTCCCAAAAGAGCATCATCCAGATCGGTGATAGAGAAGAGAAACATCCTAAGCTTTTGAGAGCCCCCACGGTTTGCCATCTCATTATACTCTTCAAACATATTCTGGAGATCTTCTTCACATGATACAGACACCAACGCATCAAGATCTTCACCAGGAAGCTGATACTTTACTACATAAGTTTGGTAATAGATGTCGAGGATTTTTTGCCTAAGCGCCAGCCAAGATATGTCCTTCCTAACGGAAATAATATGTGTCTCGCCTCCAACATATCTAAGCTTTGAATCACCTGGGCGTGGAAGTATTTTCCCACCGAAGCTGCAAAGGATCTTCACCTTTGATGTGACACTACCTGAGGCGGAAGAAGATGCGTATGCATGTGAATTTCCTAGACTGGTATCTTTACTAATTGAAGCTTGTGGTGCTGACTGGACATGATTAAGTTTATTTCCAAACTCGTGAAGAGAAGAGTTTGTTTTGTCATAATCCCTCATGCCATTTTCCACAATGCTCATCCTGGAAACATCTGAAGCACAGTCGGACCCTGCGTGACTTATCCCTATCAAACCTCTAAGGTCCATATAACCTGTGGTATAGTTCATGTCGCCAGCTGCATTGGGGTTCGAAGACCTCTGAGGAATTACGCGATCACGCATAAACTCAAGAGCAAACTCCTCCCCTGTTTGTATGGAGTAGTTAAGCACTGGCTTAACATCTGAAGCATTTGGATTGGGAGGTCGTAAGTTAGCACTCGTACTCCCTGCTTGATCAGTCATAAATGATTGAGGAGCAGCCTCGTTTCCATAACAACCAGGTTCCATAGAGTGCTGAAAAACCTGTTGGTGTCTAGGCTTATCCATCACAACAACACAAATGTTCAAATTGCTTTAATTGAAACACCTGTGTGACGAATCTGACATGCTGAATAACATAGAACCACCACTAAACTAGTAAGACAGACAGAATTGATTCAGTATTCCTTCAAGATGCTGGCGATGCAGTTTCACAATAAGCTGCAATCAAAGAATTGAGGATTCAGGAATTAGTCCCATGGCAAGATCGAAAGACAATGCAGACAACGAAACCTGGCAAAATAATTAAAGGAAAACGAAAACTTTCTCAATTCTCATGCTTGGAAAGAAAAACAGCAATTCCACTTTCTCTAAAAAAATAGAATATCCGATTCTCCTTGTCTGCTTCTCGGGAGAAATTTGATTTCGAACTAACCCAACCAAACATTTGACCTAATCAGATAACCAAATATACTCGATTTAAAGCTACCAAAAGCACACAAAACAAAACAAAAACCCTAAGGCAGCTGATACAACGATTCCACTATATCACAACGCTACAGAATAGAGTAAAATCAAAATCGAATTCAAAATTAAACGATTATAAAGCTAATGCGTCAGCAAATTCCAACGACTCAAACAAGAAGGAATAGTGTGACAAAAACAAAAATCTTCCCGTATACACTGGGCGAGTAAGCTTAAGGAAGATTGAGCGAACCAGAAACAATATAGCTTTACTGGAGAAGATATCGTCGTCTCTTTTGCTCCTGTTCGATCTAAACAGATTAAAATCAAAATAAAGGGTTTTTTTCCCTCACTTTTTTTCTCGTTTTTCCTGGCTTTTCCCCAAGCACCGTGAAAAAAAAAACCAAATATTAAATTCTTTAAATAAATATAATTAAGAAAAAAAACCAATTTGTCGGCTAGCTAAAGAACAAAAATGTTTTATAAATTACGAGCGTATAAATAAAATACAAATCCAAATCTGGTCAAAATGATTAGAAATTGTAATGGTACCCTTCGAATTTTCAGAAATTACTATTGTATTCATATTGTTGACCATCGCCGATTGGTGAAAAGGCCGATTAGCATTTCAACACCATTATCTGGTACTAATAAATATTCAAACAATTTTGATAGGTTAATCCTGAATTTATTAAAATCGGTAAATACATATCTCAATAATATTTTTTGGCCAATTAGTACATTGACTTTCTCAGAGTTAGTCAAATCCGTTAATTTGCAAACGGAATCCGACTTAGATGCCACGGTGGATGTTATGTTTGAATGAAACCAATATGACGTAAAGTTAAAAATCAGAGAAAAAAGACAAAAACGACGTCGTTTTAAATTTATTATACATTAAAAAAATCAAAATTGAAATTTTCGATTTAGTTTTCCGAAAATGTTTGAATCAAAATCAAAACCAAAATTACAAACCTAAACCTACCATGAATCTCCGAAGAAGCGTTAGCATTCGACGATGAAGTCATTCCGATTTAATTTTGAACACCACCCAAATTCTAACTATTGATATTTTTCTCCCACGAAAGAAGATATAGATGATGTATTTTTTTAATGTATAATAAATTTAAAATAACGTCGTTTTTGCCTTTTTTTCTAGATTTTTAACCTTAAATGACGTTGTATTGGTTTCATTCGAACACAGCATCTATCGTGGCATTTGAGTCGGATTCCGTTTGCAAATTAACAAGTTTGACTAATAGAGAAAAAGTCAATGTACTAATTGACCAAAAAACATTATTAAGATATGTATTTATCGATTTTAATAAGTCCAGATACTGATTAACCTATCAAAATTGTTTGGGTATTTATTGATACTAGATAATGGTGTTAAGGTATTAATCGGTCTTTTTCCCTAGCCGAGTGCCTAGATTCGTTAATACACAATGGAACGTAAACGGAGGCCGTCGATCTTTTAAGACTTTACAGATCTCTTATCTTTGAGAACAAGTTTCTATTTTGCTTGTGAAAAGTATGTGATTGATCCCTCTGACTTATGATAAAATATTTTGCATTAAATACCAATCGGTATCGGTATAAGAACATGTTCATAATCATTACCGTAACAGGTTGACTTTCAATTCCTTGAATATATACTTCAAATTTTAACTCCAAATTCTCATTTCATTCCAAAGTAAACTTACTAAGTGACTTTACAAAAAAAATGTAAAGCTACAACGTTTTTATTTTTTTGTTTTGTCGACAAAAGTAACAACGTTTTTGTTAACTAACGTTAATGGATTTAGTGATGTAATTAATTATGTTAGAGGAAAAAGCAATTGTCGATAATTTGTTCGAGGCTCTGATGAGTTAGAGGAAAAAGTACTGTACAAACAGATAGTATAGACACGTAATATGTACTTTATAGTTATCTTATACGGGCTTTTTGGTCAAGGCTTTGTGGTCGAGGCTTCAACTTCAAAAGCGCCTATGCCAATGGGGCGGCAATGATTGGGCCCACCATATTCGATACGTAAAAACAAACTGTGGTCGGTCCACCCTTATTTTTTCAATATTGAAAAATTTCTATTGTATATAACTTAGAAGAAGTCTATGAGAAGATAAAATATAGGTTTCCGTAGAAAATACAAATTGTTTATCTTTGCAGACATTAAGTCAGCATGATATACCACAATATAATCTACCTGAACTTGTTTTTTATTTAATAGCAATATACTTCTATCACCCACTCCATTTTCTCCTCTTGCTTAACACTGAAACTCCTCAAAATAAAAGATGATGTTCAATACTTCCTCTCCCTTCAAAACTGTTACTAGCTCTTTAGAGTCGGGATTCAAATATCATCCTCAAATCTAAGTGTAATTATTATTCAAGTAAGTAACCCACTGTTGTTCTTTTTCCTGAACCCATTGTTATATTTTTCATTTGAAATTAATTTGGCTGGCGAACGATCAGAAAATATTTGATTTTTCTTTTCCTTTTAAAAGTGAACTACATTATTTGGACCAGCCGAATACGGTATAGATTAGACATGCGTACATACACACCGTCCAGAGAATTTATATACATTTTTTTGGGTCAACGTACACCGTCAAGAAATATAGTAATACGTAAACAAATTTTCAAAAATGTTTTCTCTCTCTTATTTCATATCTTTACAATTTACATCATACATTTCCTGATATATACTGATGAAAATTTGACGAAAAAGTGCAGATGCCGTACCTAATTTATGTATATATATACTGTATATATGTAATGTATATGAAAACAAAACGGTGTCGTTCCTTGGGAGGAATAAGACAATGGTAGCCAAGACGTTAATTTTTGCAACGGTCGAGACGTTACTTGGCGCTCTTTTGGTCACTCATGATTCCCACCAGTAGCCACTCTGTTTTTCGGTAGCACGGTTTCGACTTTCTACGTTAATGGCAAAACTATCTTCTCATTTGATCTTTTAAGTATGTAAACACAAGCTTGCGTTTGAGAAATTTTCAATATGCACACGTACGACATGTTCGATACCAGGCAAGTTGAATCCGTATCTATCAAAAGCCAAGGAGGTATGCTATTGTTCGACATGGACATGTTTCAGATAATTGTCTTGCTAATTCATTCATTGATTTGTTTTCCAAATGTGGTTGTGTTGAGAAGGAGAGATTGGTGTTTGATGGTAGAGAGTATGAAGATGTCGTTTCTTGGACTTAAATGTTCTCTTGTTTGTTATATTGGTTTCCGTTCTAGCGGTTGCTTTCGGGGTTCTGAATCTGAATGGCAAAATGGAGAAAGAGCGATGCATGTGTTGAGGAACCTGAGGAGATGTGTGGATTGTCACAATGCGAATTAAGGTCATGGAAAAGGTGATTGGAGTGGAGATCAGAGTTAAAATATTCTTTGAGGTATCATCATTTCATAAAAAGAAAGATCGAGATCTAACCAGGCAATCACAAAAGATGACAAACCTTTATTAATATAACTCAAAAACAGAGGAAAATGCCGTATTCGGAGATTGAACCTACCTCCACGTTCCAGACGCTCCACTACTGAGCTAAGACGACATTGATGGCAAATGAATACATTCATAATCAAAAAGCAGAGTAAGCGATAAATCAATTCTTAAGAAATAAAAAAGCCGTCGTCATCGATAGGTGATAAGCTTAGTCTTGTTTTTCTTGACATGTCAAAGTACAAGAGGCTCCAGAATCTCCCTCATACGTTGAGAAACCTGAAAAATCTGATGAAGTTGCTTTATCTTCGTGGATGCACGAACATCAATGAGCTCCTACAGATTGCTTGCAGGGGAGATGAGAAAATTGGATTTATCTTCGTGATATGGACTTTTGTGAATTCGCGGTATAAATCCTCAGAGAGATATAACACAAGATCATTAATGAAAGATAGCATTAAAAAAAAACCAAAAAAAAAAAGAAACAGTTTTCTGTTTCTGTGTCTAAGTTCCACAGCTTAAAGAAGAGAGTGAATTCAAAAGCGTAATAAAAACAAATGTGATTGATCTACTTTGGAAACTTGAGAAGATTAGCATCGTTCCCCAGGTAGTGAAACGGGAACCTCTGGTTAGCTGGAGATGAAGAACCACCATTGTTATTACCCAGGTGGTCGTGAGTAACAACAGTCTGATCATTGTTACAGTTATTACTCGAATCACCAAAACATTTTGCTTGATGGTTCTGCACTTGTTGCTGATTCATGTTGTTCGTAGTGAGGAGCTTGTCCAGAAACGACCAGTCTCCACCATAATTGTTGTTAGAAGTCAGCCTCAGTAGATTCTGTGAGCATTCAATGTCCGTTGTGTTGATTGACGACACAAACGGTTGTGCTGCTGCTGCTGCTGCTGCTGCTGCAGCCGCGGCTGCTGCAGAGTCAGGGCTAAAGAGCTGAGGAAGATGCATTGACCCGTGGCTCAAAGTGTTTGCAAACTCTTGTAATGGCATGTGTATCTGCCTTCCCATTTGATGATGATGATGATGATCTAGAGAATGTGGGATCAAAGAAGAATGATTGTTTGAATTGGATTCAATGTGATGATGATGATGGTGATCATGATCATTGTTAGTGCTTATGTATTGGTGATGATGATGATGATGATCTTGCTCTTGTTCTTGGTGGAATCCTCTGAAATGGTTCTTCTTCTTGAATACTCTGCAAACAACCCACCCATCTTCCTGCAAATTACGTATACATAAATGATAAATCCCACATTTTGAAATAGGATCTCCAAAATCAGATTTTCATGAAACTAGAGAGACTATTTGATATAATATCGTGCCTGGATTTCGTTTTCGTTATCGTCTAGGCGATATTCGTGCATGATCCATTCGGTCTTTTGGCCGTGAGGAGCACGACCAGTGTAGAAGACAAGAGTCTTACGAAGTCCAATCTTCTTGGAGCTGTTGAGATGTATGGATTTGTCTCTACCAGTAGCCTTCCAAAACCCGGCTGCAGTGGCCCGGTTCGTTCGGGTCCCAGTCGGATATTTCTTGTCTTTGTGGCTAAAGAAGTACCACTCGTTTTGAGGACCCGACCCGATTCTGCATTTCTCTACATAGAAGATACACACAAAAACAAATTTAATATTTATATAATGAAAATGAAAATTTATTCAGTTATTATATATGAATACATGGCTTACGGCGATGGGTTGTTATATGTTTGCTATGTGAAAAACTATTGGCTTATTTTGAGGGTATAAATACGTAATAATGTTATGACACTACTCCTAGTCATATACTACAAGACATTACACTTTGTCTTTTGTAACTATTTTAAAAGACATGAGTGAGTAGACAAGTTTGTCTCTTTCTTGATGTACATGTACACACGCACGTATAAGGCTTCATGGCTCCATAAAAACAGGAAAATAATTTATAAGGATATGAAAACTGATAAAACTTAATTGAAAGACATCATAGGTAGATACATGTTTCCATGGGGACACAGACAAAACCCTAGACAACATTACCCAATCTATGTATTTATCCTTTGACATCTAACTTGTAGTCTTGTGCAGAGACAACAACATGATCCCCCAAATTTTATCTATCTGATCTGCCTCGCTCTTAACAGAATTAATTAGACTTATATGATGTTAATAATTGTGATAGTCTAAATATAATTGCTGATCAATAAAAAATAATCTGTCATTAAATGTGTGAATTAGGTGGTGATACTCATAGTTATTAAGAACTAAAAGAGCTAAATATAAGTGGATTATAAATTGTACCTTTAAGTTCCCAAGGTTCAAGTTTGTTGAGATCAACTTCTCTAATAACATCTAAATCAATCGGTTCATAAGAAACCTTCTTCTTGAGGTAATAATATAGAAGTTCCTCTTCCGTTGGATGAAAACGGAAACCCGGAGGCACCGAAAGCTGTCCTCCTCCGGCCACCGTGGACGACGACCCTATCTCCATTATCCGTACTCTTCTTTAAGTAAATCAAAGATGCTTCCTTTTTCTCCTTTGCCCTAATCAATTATAGATGATCAAGAACACAAATATATTGCATTAAGGTAAAGAAATAAATGACCAGTGAATGGGCTGTCGACCATGTAAGAATCCAAGAGATTTTCAAGGTATGATTTTGTTTTGGCTATAAAGTAAAAACCCTAGTTTTAACATGCATGCACATATTCATAAAGAACAAAAGGGCTCTTTTTTCCTCACTAAGAAAAGCCGGAGCATTCTTACATAGGAATGGATAAATATACTTGAATATCCCAAAAGAAACATGAAGCTGCTGAAAACCGAACGGTTTGTCTTCTTAAAGAAGAGAGGGTTGGTGAAAGACTTAGTCATATTCTTGAGTAATCAAAAGAGAAGAAATGAAAATAGAGAGATGCTTGAAGTGAAAAGTACACATATATATATATACGAGGGTACTGTGTGAATGAGAGTGCGCATGTGTGTGTATATATGTATATATATGTAAGATGCAGATGATGATGCTGCTGACAACAATGAAAGATATATATGATGGCTGAGGAAAGGAACCGAACCTTGGAGGCCGGAAAGTATTGCTTCTGTTAGAGGCAAGAGGTAGAAGACAATGAAAGAGAGAAGGCAATGAAGCAAGTAAAATGAATTTCTACAAAACTGAAGATATCTTAGCTTCAAGGGCACGATGTTTAGGGTTTCTATCTCTCTCTCTTTCTTCCTCTTTGAGATAGAAGGGATGATGAGAGAGAGAGAAAGAAAGACTTGGGCTTCTATGGATTAGTGCCACTATTATTTCGTATAATAAATTTAATAAAACAAAGCTGGTCACAGAAATATATGAGATTAATTGTTTTATTGTATATATGATATAGAGGCAATTTCCATTATAACTTTTTGCTTGGTATGTATTTTAAACTAGATATATATCTATATAGGTGTTATATATACATCAGCTAAAATAGATATCATCTATACAATATGGAACTTCTTATATATCGTATGAGCAAACTTTTTTGGAGTTTCATCATACAGCATATATATTGATTTTTTTTGTTGGTTGTATTATATTTTGCAAATCACTTTTGACTTTCCAATTGTACTTCTTCCTAACTTTAACATTTTCTAATACCAATAGTGTTCTTTTTCTTTGACAATATGTTTCGTTTTATCCAATCAATATCCACTTTTGCAAATGTATATCAAGTTCTACGACTTACTTACTTTTTGCTAATCGGGTGTATAGGTATACAAATATAAATGTATAAAGAATGTGTATATCTCTAGTAGAGGAATATGGTTAAATATGAGGAATATAATCTAGTCACCATGGATTACAGCTGTTTTTTAATTAAGACTGACTAATTTGCTTTGAAAACAAGTAGAAATCGATTTATAACATGGTAAATATTATATGATATAAGATCTGGGTATGTATCCCAAGGAAGAAACAAAACAAGAATTGAAGCTTCTATACCCTCAAATTGCAGTCAAATGTTGGGAAGAAAAATGATGTATCGTACCTTGAATTATGCTCCCACTTACTTTTTTTATTGCATCAATTTCAGTGCAGTTTCATTAAAATTTTAGTACTATAAGATTTTATTAAACCAAGTCTTGATGCGATTTATATATACAAATGACATAAAAGTTAGCTAAAATTTGTTCCCTGAATACCAAATTATTTAGTTGCATAAATTATGAGACAGCAATGGAAAGATTAGCTATATGATTGAGCGTATAGTATGATACATTTCCACCGTATCTTTTAGTTATTTCTTAGCATTTTCTTAGCACCTTAGCATTAATTTTTGTCACACAAGCTTCTTATATTAGTTCAAGGTTGGAATATAAACACATAATTTAGATTATACACTTACACAAACTACCAAGCTTATAATGTGCTACAAGTAATATAATTCACCTATCTTTTTTGTTGTTGTTCTAATCAGCACCCCAAAATATCAATATAAGAAAAATTCAATATGCAAAACAAATAAATATGTAGACTTTGAGTATTGGACAAAAGATAGAAGACGAATTCGAATGCAAAAGAGAAGAAGAAGCAAAATCCTGAAAGGCTGTGGAGAGAAGCACGTGATGGTCCAACACCAAATCCACAATTCAAGGTCCCTCGTTTGACCTAAACTTGTCTTGAGATTCGCACCAAATTTTGATTTTTTTTTTCTCTTCTTCTTCTTTTTATTTCATACAAAATATTTTATGGAAAAAATACAAATCTGTTATTATGGTAACTTTAATTTCCTAAATTCCATGTAAGTAACATACATGAAACACATAAAAACATTGGATTCTCACGGTAAATCATCTCTTCGTAACAATTTATGAAACTTACAAAATTTTTGCCCAATACTAATAATAATTATCTTATTGAGATGTGCCGTTGCCTTCACGAAGACGTCATGCATTAAACACTTATTAATGAAGGGTTTAAATTTTAATCATGTAGAGATACCAACATGTTCTCTGAAACTTATATTGATATTTTATAATACCCATTATGGCTAAGTGTCTCACAGCATACATTAATTTACGCTCCTAGTAGCTAGTAATTAGACTATTAGTATATATATATAAAAAAAGATAGATGAGTGTGTCGTACTTGTACACAGTTTTCTTTTCAGGTGAATTACTAGATCATATCACAGTTTCTAAAATTTATATCAACCAATGAACCAAATATATGATAATTACACTTTAATTAAAGAAAAAAATGCAAACTAATTGTATAGTATTGTATCTTATACGTCATACAAGTGTTTATAATTGGTGGCTAAAGTCCGACTCTTGAGGAGGGCCTTAAACTACAGTCTATACGGATTTGAAAATACGTCCTTCTATAGAGAGCCCTAATGCCAAAGAAATCTCCAGAAAGTTTTTATTTTCAGGTGGAAATTATATAGACTCTCTTCTTCCTCTCCTTTTTGTTTTTTTTTTGTTTTTTTATACCATTCAAAATAGATTCTAAAATTGATAACTCGCATACTTATAACTATCTAAAAATCATATTTAAAGAATAATAAACAAAATCGAAAATACTTAAACTACTTTAACAATTGCAAACTTTTTAAACGCATGAAACGGTTCCAAAACATATACAAATTAGATGTTTTATAACTCACAATTAAATCTTATCAATTAAAATTAACAATTTTTTAAATATTTTTTTTTTCAAAACTGAATTATTCTTTTCAATTATTTTAGACAAATTCAGACGTGCAAACATTATATAATAAGATGCTCGCAATGGCTAAAGTAAATGTTTGTCGAAAAAAATGCTCGCAATGGCCTAGTGTTATTATGTATTTATACTTCTTAACCCTAAATTATCTTTGCTTTGTCCATATCAACCCATTACTTTCATAATCACCATTACGCCCAACTATTAAAATCGATGAGCAAAACGAAGTCGTTTCACACAGCTCGTAGAAAATTCCCTTGTTCAAGTAAAATCTCCGATGATTGACTAAATTATATTCCTCCGGGTGGTTCAGCGTCGGCAAAGTTAGCACGACAATCAGCGTTTCGATCTTCGAATCATAAAGGTTTGATCGCCGTGCAAGGATAATCTCCGGGGGGGGGTAAGCCTTTATTAGGTTAATTTCACGATGTAATTTAGGTCAATTTCGTCGGATTGGCGAAATTTTTCCCATCTTCCCTGATCATAAATATCGCAGATTTTGGGCTAACTGGCTGATTCCTTGCTCATCTTACTGGGAATTTCCTCTCTTTTTTATTGAATTTTCTTCTACGAAGCAGTTTAAAGGTTTATTTTGACAAAGGTCGAGGTTTTGTGTCTGTGCTTATGATTCTTCTATCGGAGTATGATTTTCGACACTGCATTGTTGCTAACGTTGGCTAAAAGTTTCCAGATTTGACGCCTTTTAGTGAAAATTTTCTCTTAAAACGGTTTATGGTTATTGTGTCGAGATTCTTGTAGAGATGTAAGATATTTCCTTGCTTGATAAGAGTATCGTTGTTTAGAAGCTAGTTGCAGCTAGTTTTCATGACCATACAGTATATACTTATTTGAGACACTTGTGATTCTCTTAATATATTATAATTTGCTCTCTCTTAATTGGGTAGGAACTTGTTCCAGGACAATGGCGTCTTCTTCGGATGCATGGATTAGAGAGTACAATGAGGCTTTAAAACTATCTGAGGATATAAATGCCATGATGTCAGAAAGGAATTCATCGGCTTTAACGGGGCCTGATGCTCAACGTCGTGCTTCAGCAATTCGAAGAAAGATCACCATTTTGGGGACCCGATTAGACAGTCTTCAATCCCTCCTTGTTAAGCTTCCTGGGAAGCAACATGTGTAAGCAACTTTTAATATGGTTTGCCTGCAACAACTGTCAGACCCCAAATTAGACAACAGTTAGTTTCATGTTGGTCTTGACCTATGTGATCATGATATATGTGTATGCCACTGTTGATACACAGGTCAGAGAAAGAGATGAATCGTCGCAAAGATATGGTTGGGAATTTGAGAATAAAGGCAAATCAGGTGGCGTCTGCTCTGAACATGTCAAACTTTGCAAATAGAGACAGCTTGTTCGGCCCAGAAATGAAGCCGGATGACGCAATGAACAGAGTCTCTGGCATGGACAACCAAGGCATTGTTGGATTTCAACGACAAGTTATGAGAGGTAGGCTGTGTTATGTCACATTACGCTATGACCATAGTAAAGATATTGGCTTCTGTATTAATTTTTCTTTGATTGCTTTTTTTTTTCCCCATGAGTAGAACAAGACGAAGGGCTCGAGAAGTTGGAGGAAACAGTGATGAGTACCAAACACATAGCTCTCGCTGTCAATGAGGAGCTCACTCTGCAGACAAGGCTTATTGTATGTATCTGCTGTTTTACACTGTTTTTTCCTGCTACATTTTCGTGTTCTAATATATCTGACTTTCCTGCATGCAGGATGAGCTAGACTACCATGTTGATGTTACCGACTCCCGCTTACGGGTAATTATATTCATTGAACAAGTTGATCTTCATAAATCGTGAGCTTAAGTTGTTCCATTGATAAAAACGTATTTTAGGATGTCCAAGAACCTCTCCGTAGTTGCTTTTGGGATCTTAAATAGCAACATCAATAGTTGAATGTGGTTACCTTTTGAATAGGATTTGGTTCGCATTTGGCTTTGGATTGATGTGACCTGATTGTGTGTTCTGAATGAAAACAGCGTGTGCAGAAGAGCCTTGCGGTGATGAACAAGAGCATGAAAAGCGGTTGCTCATGCATGTCTATGCTCTTGTCAGTGCTTGGAATCGTTGGTCTTGCTCTTGTGATTTGGCTACTGGTTAAGTACCTGTAATGCCAACATGATGATTCTTTATGAAAGTTTTATCTTGTTCACTCGGCCTCTCCTGGTTATTGTTGTCCCTTTCCTCTTTTGTGCTCTTGTTTTTCTTTCCCGTCCATTGATTCTTCTGCTGTGAGGTCAAAGAAGAATATCGCTGAAAAAAGTATATAAATCTGTATTGCCTTCGTATGTTGACGAATTGTAATCAAAGTTGACATTTGTCTCTGTATAAAGATATGGCACTCGTACTTGGCTCAAGAAAAAAAGGTCGTATCTATCAATCACTTGCAGATGAATTAAGAACTAATGTGGGCTTGTACGATGCAGAGACATAATCCGTATAGATCGAAAAAGCCCAATAAGCGTAGATAAACAGTTTTTGTTCTGAGTCTTTTAGTGGGCTCTCTCGAGCCGTGGACGATTCCTCCATAGCCTATCAAAATAAATATGGAGGGAAAACAAGGTTTTTGAATTTTTTTTTTTTTAATTATGAAGCCCATAACCACATCACGTTGCTTACATAGGAATTCCACTGTGTAGAAATTGAAATTGAAATTCGTTTTACTAAGACGAAAAAATAAAGAGAAGAAACCCAACGGTCACTTCAAGCGCATTCAAGACTTTTTTTCTCATTTTTTTTTTTGTTCATAGGAACAGATGGTGGAATCATCGGAGCTGAGCTATGAACAGATTCGTTTGAAGAGGGTGGAAGAGAACAAAAAGAGAATGTTTGAGCTTAATCTCAACAAGCTCGCTCAATCTCTCCGCGTCTCTTCTGCCAAGCCTTGTCCAGTTATTGTTTTTTTTTTTTTTCTTTTCTCTTCTATTCTCTTTATATTTCTGGAATCAACCAATTTTTTATTTTTGGTTTTATCGTTGGGAATGTGCAGGCTAAGACAAGGATGCAGCGTGTTCCGGTGGACTTGTCGGAGGTCAGGAGGTCAAACCGGCCGAAGAATCCGCCTCCGAGTTACAGAGAGGTCTTTTCTACCATTTATCTTTCACTTACTTTAGTTGTGAGCTATTGGGTTTGTGGTTTTTCTCCAATTTGATGAGTAATTGCTCTCTATATCTTTTGTGCAAGTTTTCTTATTTTGAAGCTCAAAAGTGGGTGACGAATCAGAAAGTTTTCCCACTCTTGTATTTAATCAACTGAGGAGATACACTATAACATAAGTAGATCTTGTTGTTAGCTTTTTAATACTAGTAATGAGAGAGTATTCTTGGTCCGAGAATCTTGAAGTCAAAAAGTCTTTTTTTTTTTTTTTTTTTTTGAACTTTTGAAGTCAAAAAGTCAAAACTCATAATCAGACTTGTTTGATCCTTATTTGCAGATGGGGCTAGAACCTCTGGAAAGGCCAAGAAGGTTGACCAGTCCACACTCTATATCAGACCATATTTGTCCAAAACTATTTCATGGGATTTATCAGTTAGTTGTTTATGTTCTTTGCAGGACCTATCAAAGAAGAGATTTGCTGAACCGCGTGTATGCCTCAGACGAGGCAAGAGTGTATGCAGTCCACAAGGCAGAGATGCTTCAGTCAAGCTTAGAACCTGGATTCCCAAGCTTTGTTAAGTCAATGCTCCAGTCACACGTAACCGGAGGATTTTGGCTGGTATATATGAAGTTAAATGGAGATGCTAAAAGAAACTTGAAAATGCTAAAAGAAGTCTGATACTTATTAGCCTTGGTAAGTAAACTCCGAAGATTCTTATGTGTTTTGTTTCTGTTTTTGCAAACAGGGCTTGCCGCATCAGTTTTGCAGGACACACCTGCCACACCGCGATGAAATGATCACTTTGGTTGATGAAAACGATGAGGAATTTCTGGCCAAATATCTTGCTGAGAAGAATGGTCTTAGCGGAGGCTGGAGAGGTTTCGCCATTGATCATCAGTTAGTCGATGGAGATGCTCTTGTGTTTCACCTTATCAATTCAACAACGTTCAAGGTAAGGAAATCTTGATTTGTTGTAAAATAGACCAGTAGAGAGTTTAGAGGCAAATGACACTTTTAAACATTGGTGTTGAACATATCGTTTGTTCAGGTGTATATCACTAGGGTATATGATGAAGCAAACAATGATTCAGATAGGAATGATAAAGAGAATGAAATTGAAATAAACAAGAAACAAGAGGAGAATTGTTCTGAAGCTGGTAGGCTGCGAAGCTGCAGTGGTAAAAGGAAAAGAGGAGGTAGTAATGAATGTGTCATATATATATGTATATCTCTTAATAACGGTTCGATAAAACTAAAGTTGTTGATTGATGTGTGCAGGCAGGAAGTAGAGTTTGAAGGTCGGACTAGGACTTCAATGGAAGGATGTAGTTTAAACAAGGGTGCCTAAAAAGAAAACCCTTTTTTCTTTGGTGTCGGATGAGCAGTGAAGTTATGTATGTGATGGGGACCATTACGGCAAATATTTTGGTAGCTAAGGGGTGTTATCGGAGAGTTGATTTATAAAGATTTTTAGAGTTTAAGATTCTATAGTTATTGGTTTGTGGATTTTTACATTCTTAATAGATTCATCTGTTATTCATTTAGAGATTATAAAAATCAGTTGTTATTGATATGATGATTTTTATAATTTAATCAAAATCCATTGTTATTCAAAAAGTCTGCATTTTAATGATTCTATGATTCTGTTATAATCTAGTGTTATTGGCATAATGATTCTTTGTAATTTAATTCATAAATCATGATTCTCAAAATACTACCTATATCCCTTGGATTTTCAAAATCTGTCATATTAAAAAATTCTTAATAGATTGTTTAAATCCATAAAACTCTCTCTAAATTTTACAAATCCAACAAAACTCTTAAAAATTGACAAATCTCATGATTTTTAAAATCAACTAAAATCTTCATAAATCCAACTCCCAATAACCCCCAAGTTGATTTATATGAAACGTAGGCAGGAGATATCTTGCACGATTCCTGACCTCTTACGATTATATGTGTTGAGTCATGTAAGCATTGTAGTCTTCACTGCTTTTGAAGCTAATGTATAAAGATTGCATTAAATTTAACGGGCCTGAACGAGGTTAAATTAGCTAAATATTTTGAATCAGGCCTGCAAAATTCTGGCCCATTTTAACATCTCTATAAATTAGATCACAAAATTTAATTTTGAAGGAATTTCATAAGAATAAAGGCTTTGATTGGTAACTTTGCGGAATGGCGGAATTGCGGAAAAAATTTTGCGGAATAGATTAAGCGATTTATAAGTCGCTTTTCTGCGGAATGACTTTTTCTTTGTATTTTTGTTAAGCAAAAACGCAGTCTGTGTTTTTGTGTGTATTTTTTCATTATGCGGATTTTTGTTGATTGGCAAAAAACCTGCGGAATTGTGTTTAAAAACGCAATTCTGCCATTCCGCAGTTACCAATCAAAACCCAAAAGTTGAGAGAGAAATTAGGCGATAGATAGATAGATAATGGTGCCTCGTCGTACTCGTCTTCCACCAAGGATAACGAAGGAGTCGGAGGAGGCTCGTATCGCGAGAATGGAGGAGTATTGGCCTCAAGTGTGGGAGTCCGATGTAATTCGTTGGAGATGACTTTGTCTTGTTTGTTTTTCGCTGCTTTAAATATGTTTTGATTTGCTTATACAAGATTGCTCCTCTAATTGGCAGGGGTTCGATATTGAGCACGTGAAGAGAATAAGTGATGGTTGATAGGTTTTAAATGCGAAGATGATGATTATCCCGTTGTTGTCGACCTCTATGCTAAGATGGGCCTTCATCAATACAATATGCGCAAGGTAAATTAAATATAGTCGATGATCTCTGTTCTGATCATTTTAATTAATAGTTTTGCTTATTCTTGACTTGTTTCTTGCAGTAGATCCCTCTACCGATGATCACCATGTTACTTTTCAGACTAGTGTTTTCGAAAATTCATTTAATAGTTTCAATGTCCAATGTAACCTTGCTAGACCTAAAATTGAAGGTAATAAATTTCTTCTCTCTATAGCAGTCCGGAGTTTCCCTCATCCTGATTGTTTATTATTATAAGCAAATTTTCTGAATCTCTATAGCGACCAAGGTTAACTGGAAACGAAGAAATTTACACCGCAATTTCACCGTGCCTGAATGTTGGCCGTCAGATGAGGATTTGGCTGCTGACAAAAGACCGATTTTACGTGGTAAATGCATGGATCATATCTTATAAGGATCTGTAAAGTAATTCATGATATGCTTTCACTACCTAGCTAGTGTGTGTGTGTGTGTGTGATGTTTTTGCTTTTGCAGGTGCAGGAATCTGAGTTGAAAGATAATGACTGGATTCGCCTCTATATGGAACTTGCATTTGTCACAACCAATCGGAAGGATGACGACAATGTATGTCTTTTGCTTTTGCATTAACTTTTGCAATGACGACATAACACTCTGGAGTGTGTTTCTCTTTTAGGTTGAAAGATTTCGTTTGTTGTTGTTGCAGCACAAGCTGTCCGAGTTGGAGATTGTCAAGGTAGTGGTAGAAGCCCGTAATAAGAAACTCAAGGGAGCCATAAACAAACTCAAGGGAGCCATAAACGCAAATATTTACATAGAATATACGCAGGACTTGGGCGAGAGTCGTCGTAAGTATAGAACTAAAATCAGAAGAGTCTTTGATGTGAGAACCGGACTCCTTAATCTTGTCGGTGACGATCAGGTTCTTGGTCTCGTAGGCCACGACCAGGAACTTAGTCCCGTGGGCGCACAGTCAGTACCTTAGGGTTAATTTATATTCGTTGTGTCAATGGAGGAGGATAAGGAATATGCAAAGAGGTTTTGTAGATTCAAAAAATATCACCAAGTGTTCCATGCTTTAAAAAATTAGCACGGCATGCTAAACTAAACTCAGCTATAAAATCCCCCAATTTGGCAATCAAATTCTACAATTTTTTTGTTTCTCATCGGTTATACTTTGGTTTTTTTTTTCACCAGTAAAATACAAGGAGAAAGAATGATACTATTACTATAACACGAGGCAATTCTGTGGTTTTTGCGAGATTGTCTCTCGCCTTAATATACAATTTACCATTTCATTGACAAGAAAAGAGGACCTATGGGATGATTGGTGACGACGATGGTGTTGTGGCTCGAAGGAGTTGTTGCAGAAACCGAGCTGCAAGACGTTGGCCAACACCGCCTGCAACACGCCCTCCAAGTCTTCGTGCTTCCGGTTGTTGTAGCACCTGATTAACAAACAAAGGAGTTTAGAACATATAATCAAGCCACCTTATACAGTAGGTCAGTTGCAAATAAAAATGTCAAATGATGTATTACCTGAACTATTGGCTGCAAAATAGCTGGGTCAAAGCTTTCTGAAGATTGAAGAAGGCTCCATATTCTTGAGACCTGGTCCCGAAGCTCAAGCGTGCTTTCTAGTTCCGTGGCACTCATTGTTAGAGGGCCATTCCCGTTTCCACTGAAGACGAGAGATCTCAAAAACTCAGGCATGGAATTGTATGTATCAACAACAGAGCCCAGAGCAATTGCTTCACTGACTCGTACAGCTTCTTTAATTACCAACAGTCGAAGTTCTTCGCCATTTGGATCCAGCAGCAGCTTCAATACAGGTTGTAGAGCATCTTTCGCTGAGAAATCCCTATCTTTACTTCCCTGTTGTAGAAGGTTCTCAAGTCTATTCCACCTAAACTTGCCATCTTTGAACAGAAGCTCAATAAGGGCATCTCTTAGATACGGGTTTGGATCAGTGAGAAGCCTTTTGGCAAAATATGGGTAAGAAGCAGCTAACACTTTGAAATTGGGATCTGCGTAAAGTGCCAAACCTTCAAGCACAGTAAGCGACCTCAAGATCAAGGCATAGTAGGCCGGGACATTAAACGGATATTGATAGAAGACAGCACCTAGACCATCAACCAAAGTTTTGAAATTGAGCTCGCTCACGGTATAATTGAGTGCATCATCAAAGAAGTCTCTGAGGGCTGGTACGATTGGGGTAACATCCACATCAGGCGATAAGAACTTCAAAGCGTAGTAATCTCGGGCCATGGCTTCGTAATCTCGGTTGACCAAATGAACAACATGACCTATGATAGCAAATCTAGCTTCCTCTGGTGTCTCACTCATCATGCCAAAGTCTAAAAAAGCAAGTTTCCCATCAGGAGTTGCCAAGAGGTTACCAGGATGAGGGTCAGCATGGAAAAATCCATACTCTAAGAGTTGCCTCAGGCTACACTGGATTCCTGTGTTAACAAGATCCAGAACCTTCAAACCCTGACTCTCAATGGCAACTTGCTCGTTCAATTTAGTTCCCTCAACCCATTCCATTGTTAGCACCTTGCGGCTCGTGTAATCCCAGAATATATCAGGTACAAGAACATCTGCTTTGTCAGCATAGAGTTTCTTAAACCTCCTAGCATTTTGGGCCTCCTGGACGTAGTTTAGCTCCTGATAAACTCTGCAGGCAAACTCATCGATGAGGGCGAGGACATCAGTAGTGATGAAGTCTACATACTTGTTTATGAGTTTCCCAACTCCTCTAATAAGGTAGAAGTCAAGACCAATGGCTTCTTCAATTCCAGGGCGTTGGACTTTGACAGCAACCACCTGACCCGAATACCTAAGCTGAGCTTTGTAAACCTGGCCAAGACTAGCTGCTGCGATCGGCTCTGGGGATACAGACGAGAAAATGGATTCGAGAGACAAATCCAACTCTCTCTCTATGCAAGCAAAGGCCTCTGCATCAGGGAAGGTTGGCAAAGCATCCTACTTAGGCACACATAGAAGAAATTAACAAAGTTAGAGAGATGTTGTCAAAAAACAACAACAACAAAACAAAAGTCTTAAAAAGAGGTGGACCTGAAGCTCTGAAAGTTCTTCAAGGTAATCCGGTGGACAGAGGTCGGGTCGGGTGGATAGACCTTGACCTAATTTAACGAAAGTAGGACCGAGACGAGTGAAAATCCGACGGAGCTCACCTGCTCTCTTCTTCATGTTCTGCACTAGCTTGCCTTGCCTCTGATCAATCCCCAATCTCAGCGCGAAACCACCCAAAGCTGCTAATATCTCCACACTTCTCCGCAAAGCCTAAAGTCCGAATTTTGGTAATGCATCATCTCTCTCTTAGTTTCATTCACCTCTCTTTTCTTGTTTTTTCGTTTTAACATTCAGAATTTTTGGTAAAAACTGACCTTGAGGGGCTGAGAGCCGTGTTTTCTGGCGATGAGCTCCGGAGAATAAACAGAAGCATCAACAGCACGGCCCAAAGCTCGCGCCTCCGCTTGAAGATCATCGGCGAGATCAGCCCGTCGGTATTGAACAACCGGCGCCGTTGTCGCCCTCGGTGGTGGGGAAGGAGTAGCCGTCGCTCCATCTTCCCTGGGCCTAGCTTGAACCAGAGCCGCACGCGCTAATCTCCTCCGGTTCACCAAGAAATACTTAGATTTACCGCCATTTCTTCTCGAATTGCATAACGAAACACAGTCACCGACTCGAGTTAAACCCAGCGACTGACCAACCACCAGACTCATCGTGTACGCCCCGCGAAACGAGAGAGAAGAGAGAAGAGAGAGAGGAGAGAATTCAGATTGTGATTGCTCAGCCAGTAATAGCCATGAAAGAAGAAGAAGAAAGAAGAGAGAGAGAGAGAGATGAGGTGATATTTATTCCCTATTTATTTACATTTATTTATGGGATTAGAAGAGTTTTGGGTTACTTACTTCCGATTCAACTCAATAAAACAAGGTCCACACTTTTGGCGTGCCGTGACGTTCTCTATTTCTTACATAACTCAACGACACACACAAAAAAAAAAGAAGGAAATTTAGTTAATTGAGACAGAGACAGAATTTAATACGAAACCTACAGAACGAGATTCGTGGGATTGAGCCAGCCATGGCATCAAAGTTTTGTTTTTCCTCTTTTTTTTCTTAAGCTTGTGTGGATGTAATTAGCCAAACAATATCCCCACCAAGGTTCAGAGTAACAACACAACACAGTCCAGTAATCTGACGACTACTACTACTACTCAACATAGTTCTTCGGAACGATCCAGTATGTTTTCTATATGTACACCAACGGCTGCTTCACTAATATATGATATGCCTGTGAGTGTGATAACTGATAACAACTAGGTTTCTCGTCTCAGATAATTAGCCGCGGTTATTAAAATTCCCTCTTCTAGTGAAAGGCATTCGTTCTTCTGCCAACAAAAAATAAACATGGTTTAATGGGTGCAGGGAAACAAATAATAAAAAAAGCATATAATAGTGGACAGTCTTGATTATTAATATGTTGTTACCATGGTCTTGCTCAGTGTTATCCTCATCATCATAATCTCCGTTGTTACTTGTGAAGAACGGTGTTAGGTAGTTTCTGTCTAGTTCTGTAAATGACGCGGCGCTGCATAAACAAAACAAAACAAAACGAATGGGATTTTTTTCTCTAGTGTTTTATATAATACAGTAGATAGAAACTTGAAAGCGGACTTGATTTTCAGAGTTTACGTTAATCAGTGATTTACCTCTTATGGAACTCTCTTAGTTTTGTCCTGAATCCACTCCCTGATGGTGAATCTTCATCATCATAACTTGTCATGAAACGATTGTTCACCACCTCAAAGCCCTGACAATAAGAAAAACAAGAAGAAGCACATTAATCGAGAGACCGGAAATAGCTTCACATTGAGGACAAAAATGTGACATCTTTTAGACACATGACGTCTCTGTATGACGACCAAATCGACTTACATCACCAAGGGATGTATCATGGCTATCGCCTACAACCTCTAGGGCTTCAAGCATTGTACCAGTGGATCCTCCAATTAGCAACACCTGAAATCAGTTCCAGTAACATCAAGGATCACATAAAACGCAATTAATATCTGGCTCAGCTATCAGCAACAGCAACAGAAAACCCTTTGATTGATAGATCCTAAACAAGGATGGCTTACCGTCAGAACAACAATGGCTGTCGTTGCTGTGAAGATGGTTTGACCATGTCCTTCTGGAAGATCATGAACAGATTGTAGAGCAAGAGCAAAAGCCATAGCGCCTCGAAGTCCTACGAGTCCGCATGTCCTGTTACTTCTTACCGAGGAATCGGAGATGATAGCTACATATGGAAACAAAGAGCAGTATCTTACCACTGTACCAAAGTGCTTTTTGATGCGTCATTGGTATTTTCCTATGAGCAGGTCGTGCCAGGTTGACCAAATATCCACAACCAAACACATTAGCTGCCCTGCGTAAGACACAAAATATGCCAACGAGTAACAGTATCAGGCACCCAAAACAAAACACAAAAATGCAATTTGGAAATGAATGTAACTATTGAGACACACAAACATGATGTGGAAATGTCCTGAAGTGAAACAAAAAAGCATACCTCGCAATAACGATAAACAGCTGAGTTTTGACACAAAGGATAAAAGAAAGTTAAGGAACGATAGCAGTTTATATATACTAAAGAAATAGTTGAATTCCAGATCAGTAAAACTTGAGTCAGAGGATACAATAGAAAAAAAGATGAATCCCAAGTGTGACCAACTATGCTTTTCCATGGCAATATCAAAACCCATGTAGATGAACCTGCAGTTTTGATCATTTGAAATTATAAGGTCAGGTCATTGACGCATAAAAAAAAATATCTACCATCAAAATGCATAAGAGTGTAAATACATACACAAATGTCTCTGCCAGCGAAGATATCAGATGAAAGAATGCAGACACAAATCGCTGAGAATTTACAGACAAGTTTGAGTAGGTATAATGCTTCATGACCTGAAAGGCAGAGGTGGTTTCCATTATACTACTTTACTTTTGACTGAGAATCATAACACACAGAATTCATGTAATCGAATGAAAACTCACAATCCCAGTAAATAGAATCGATACAATGCCAGATAGACTGAGACCCTCAGCAAGCATGTATCTAGCATAAGGAAAACAAAGTTAACAAAATGCACAACTTCTACGAGGGTCAATCGAAGAACAAATACAGTTAATTAGGGAGAGAAGTTCCAAAGTTACTTACGAGAAATATGGGAAAAGCACAAAGAGGCAGCACTCCAAGTTCTGCAAACTAAAAGCGAGAGTCAGATTAAAATAAGTCAATGCTGACAATTAGAACCCGAAATAAAAAAAAATTAGAGAAAAAACTAGTCACTCACTTATCAACATCCAGCCCTGCATACTTGAAGAGGTGCTTTGCATTAAGGCTAACAACTCGTGTACGAGTATGGAATACAGTAAAAATGTTTCATAGGAAACTAAAACCTAAAAAAGGATATGAGAGCAGATGTAAATCCAACTCCAACCCCTGCAGAAGAATACATTTGTCTCTTTAAAACCCATAGAGCACCGATATATGAATATATAATGACATAGGAAAACGTCGAGATGCACGAAATGTCATATTTAGTCTGATATTCATCTGTTATTTTTCTTAGGTAAGCATTCTCAAACTCTAGCGTTACCATGCCATTTCAAGTCAAAAGAGCCCAACGATGCATTAGGTATAGAGACAAAGAGAAAGGTCGGCAGATGATAAAAGCGAACCTGCAGACATTGAACCGATAAAGGTTTCGAGAAACCTGACTACCACCATAAAGATATTCTGTCCAGATGAGTGACTTCTCACCAAGGACATTGTCCTGCATCCCAATTTATAGCCTCGTTAAAATATCTTAACATTAGACTATCGTCTTTCACAGCATATCCTGATCAGCTTACATACCTGTAGAGAGATATGGCCATCTGCCAAAAGCAACATAAGAAAGAGAAAAATCTGATAAGTAATGTGATATTTTCCATCCTAGTATAAGGAATCAGAAATCACTACTCAGAAACTACTAACAGCATCATTCAAAACTGATTCTCCAAACACCAGGGCATACAAATTCACATCGGAGCCAAGTTCCTGCAAAACAATACATAAGTAAGGAATGGTAAAAATATACTGTTAAGAAAATTGAGAAACTCCCAGTAAAGCAGTAAAGTTAAGTACCTGAAATATGGACAAGACAGTGACAGGATCAGTGGCTGAGATAAGAGAGCCAAACATGAGACACTCAACGAATGGAAGTTTGTACATGAGAAACATCACACCGCCAAGGTACCTTCAATAGAAAAAGAACTTATGGATAACGGAATGAGGCCTTATCGGTCAACAAACAGAAGATATTCAGAGGACAGAGATGCATACACTAGCACGCCTGTGACCATGGAAGCTACGAAAGTTCCAAGTACGGAGAAAGTGACAATGGCTCCAAAGTTTGAAAAGAATGGTTTCTGCATAAAAACACCAACGAAAATGTAAGAATCGTCAATAATTCAAAAGCAAGGAAGCGATCCCTGATGGTAAAAGAAGAAAACCAATAAAGACATGAGAGCTCTATGCACTTACGGGTTGTAGACTGAATCCTGACTGGGTGCAAACAAGTACGTCAAGGAAAACAACATATTTCGTTGCCAAGTTAAGATTTGAGAACCATGAAAAGATTATGTCACAAATGTAAACAAAAGGCAAGAACAGTCGCAGATACAAACTCGATTAAGGATATAATATAATGGGTGGCAGCAGAAACAGAAAGAAGAACTCGTCGTGGAAATTGAACCATGTCCTGTCAGGTAAATTGAAACAAGATGCGCAAAATAATAAAATAAAAAAGGATTAGCAGTGGACAATACTTGCATACAAATTCGTGTATGTATATGTGAATAGTTACACTACTTTAATTTCCAGGTTAGTTGAGAAGGGCCAGAAAAATAGCAATAAAAAATGCGAATATACTTTTAAAAAAATGGAAAGAAGTTCAACGAACCTTATGCTAGTCTCCGTGTTCGAGATGTTCGCCAAACCACCAACGATCAACCCTGAATTTCACAATGAATCAAACAAAGGATTCGATGGAAACGGGGAAAATCGAGGAGGACGATCGCAATGCAAACGAGTAAGAAGAAGACGGAAAAACAAACCGATGAGAAGCGAAGCACTAGCTTCGGGTAGATAATAGAACTTATGACGGCGAAGGACATGACCGAGTACAAAAGAGAGGACAAGCATCATGATCTGAAGCAAAATCCCAACTCCGGCGGCCTGCTGCTGCTTCTCTTGGCCTTGCGGATCGTGAATCGCCGGCGAAATCTGCAGCTCCGACATTACGCCTTGCAGAAATAAAATTCTAGGGTTTATATCAATGGTAGTTGCTCTTCTTCGTCTTCTTCTTCTTCTTCTTCCGCTGTATTTGTTCTCACAGATTCACGAAAGTGAGTAAATGAAAATTCGTTTAACTCGTGAGACGACTTCTTCCTTTCTGAGGACGCATTTTGCATTTTATAGGAATCCGCGTCCCCACTGTCGCTCTGACTTCTCAGGTGGATTTCCGTTTTGGGCTTTTATGGGCCAATAAGTTTTCAACCCCAATAGAATTAGTTTGGCCCAATGGCTGTACAAAGATAATTAAGATACTTTTTTAATCACGATTTTATTTTTATTTTTTATTTTTACAAACGGGAAATAAGGTATAGGATAAGAACAAAAATATACAATTAAACCCTAGAATTAAACCAAATATTTGAATGATTTGAGTTTTTGAATACTATAGTTAGACTTTTGGAAATATTTAAAAGAATAGAAGAGTAAAACATTTACAAAAGCCAAGTCTTTACTAATATAGGCCGCTAATCTGCTTTCATAAACACCGATTAGAGGAGTTTAACGTGGTTAATTTGGTTTACCATCAGATTTCGGATGGGTTTGGGAAAAATTAATATGAATACATTAAAAAAGCCTTATACAGTATTTAAAATAACCTCATTCCATTAATGCAAAAGCACAAACGAATCTCTTTTTGATTAAAGAAGAAAACCCAATCATTTAATTACTCTTTTTTTGGTTACTTGGGCTCAATTTTGGTGGGAACAGAGTAGCCACCGCTATAATCAAACGCTTCGTCTCGTGCTACTTTCTTCCTCAAACCCTCTCCATACAAAAGCTTATCTCCGCCTCTGACGGCTCCAAAATCTGTGGCGGAAGACGAAGCGGAAGCGGAGGAGCTAGTGGTGGTCCCAATGTTGTGGATGATAATCTCGATCTCTTTAACCACTTGGCTCATCGTTGGCCTATCAGCCGCCGTCTCATCAACGCATTTCAGGGCTAATTCCAAATACCGGCCGAATTCCGGTAGGATTCCGGCTTCTCTCAAGGAACGATCCATCTTATCTCTCAGCCCGTAGAATTCCTCGTCGCTCTTGTTCATTGCAAGCTTGATCTCTCGAACAATGTACTTTCCTTTCTCGATCGGCTGTTTCGCGGTGATCAGTTCCAGCATTACAACACCGAAACTGTACACATCGCTCTTCTCTGTAAGTTTCTGCGTTGTGTAGTATTCTGGATCCAAATATCCCTGCCCATCGACAACAATCATCAATTTTGATTCATCGAATCATTGCAAGAGAGTAAAAAAAAAAATGTTATAACATTACCAAAGTGCCTTTGACTTGGGTCGAAACATGGCCTTTGTTGCAGTCCGAAACGAGCTTGGACAAACCAAAATCAGCAACCTTGGCCGTGAGATTCTCATCCAAAAGAATGTTGGTTGATTTCACGTCCCTGTGGATGATCGGAGGATCCGCCAATTCATGGAGGTATGCTAGTCCTCTTGCCGATCCTAGAGCCACTCGCAGCCTCCTTTTCCAGTCAAGCCCGATACCAGATCGACCTGACAGGCAATATGAGAGATGAATATGTCTGTCTTCTTGTGATTGCATTCAAAGACCAGATTTTTGCTGTACCTGTTAAGCTATCTTTTAGCGATCCATTGGACATGTACTCGTAGACCAGAATCTGCTCGCCCTGTTCGAAGCAAAACCCAACAAGCCCAACGAGGTTCTTGTGATGAACTCGAGAAAGCAACTCAATCTCTGTTTTGAACTCGAGACCGCCTTGTGTTGATCCCTGTTGTGCTCTTTTGATCGCCACCATTTGCCCACCTGTGAGCATTCCTCTATACACCTAATGCAAAATTACAGACAGAGAGAGAAAAAAGGAGCACTTTTTAGCTGTCCAGCTCTGACAGTGAAAGCCTAGTTTTCAAGCAATGCTTCATTTTTTCACCTTTCCATAACCTCCATAACCCAACTCGCTGCTCATGGAGAAATTGTTGGTGATCTTCTTGAGTTCTTCGTAGGAGAACCATCGGGCCCCTTTCAGCTGCGGTGCGCCACCACTCTCTTTTCCACTCGATGCCCATGAAACTGAGGAGAAAACACTGATTGTCTTAGTAAATCAAGGCCAAGACATATTCATTGTAATAAAGCCTAATATATCCAATAAACAACTTTACAGTGAATCAAGTTAATGTAAAGCTATTTCTTTTTTCTGGTGGAGCTCATCCTCTGCAGGCACTAATCTAATTTTGGATTTTTCTTCCTTGTTTTCTCCTGAGAAATGAAACTTATATTGCGTCTTTAAAAGAAGCAACTGCTAGCCTAAAGCATAGGACTTACCAAACGGTCTACTTAAACCGATAGCTTGCTCTGCGCGTCTCTTCTGCCAAACAGCGTATATTCCTAGTGCAACAAGGCACAGGACCAAAGCGCTGCAACCAGTTATTATCCCAGTGACCATCCGAGAGCTCAAGGAATGTCCATTACCTGCCTCTGCAAAAAGTTTCCAGATTGTAAAGAGTTCAAGGTCCTCCACTTCAGAAGCAGGCATATAAAGCTGTTACCTGGGAAAGTGTAGGGAGATGCAATGAAATAGTAAGGTCCAAACAAAGGAGGAGGTTTGTATGTTTGGTTACTCAAGTCAAATCCAATTCTCTGAACTTCGCTTCTGTTAAAGTACTTTCCCGTAGGCGGGAAAAGTTCCAACTGTATCTGGAGATAATCATCATTGTTGAAGAAAGGGTTTTGTAGAGAGACCGAGCCTGGAGTGAGTCCTAGTTTCACCCACAAGCTCATCTCGAGCGAATGGTATGTATTCACATTGGACAGGTCTCTGAACATTGGCCCTCGGAAGTACAGTGTGCCTTCATAAGGGTAGGCACATTCACAGCTCTGAGGGCTGATCTTTTGGTCTAATGGACAAGATTTTCCTCCACAGTTTGCAAGACTTGTTGAGTATATTCGTTTCGCTTGTTGCTGCTGAATCTGGCAGTAGTTTGTGTTTGAGAGAGCTGTTGTGCATACCGGGTTTCCTACGAGTCTACAACAAGAGAGATAGAGAGAGAGAGCTTCTGTAATAGGCTGCTAAAGACAGTTTGATTATTAACTTAGGAGGAAGAAAGAAGCTAGTCACATTAATGTATTGGTATATCCAGAGCTCAGTGTTACAGAGGAAATGTCGTTGTCCTGCAGATCAACAAGTTGGAGCTGTGGACCTATTGTGTCTCCCAAGCTCAGTGTTCCATTGAAAGCGTTATTTTTCAGTTTCCTGTGCAAATCCAAAGCAGGAGTTAGAGATGATTTTCTAAAGCTAATGTCAAACTTGAGTGGAGACTAAAAGCTGAAACCTACACTTGCTGAAGCTGTGGGAACCCAAAGAGCTTGTGGGGCAGTGGTCCTTGAAGAGATCCATATTCCATCACCCTAAGTCCAAACATTTAAAAAAAAATAGTTACATGTATTTCGAGATGAGAGACTTCGGGGGCTGCAAACTGTAACAGGGCAGCACTTACAGTGTGGTCAGTGAAGGTAAGGTTGAGAACCAGAGAGGAGACTCTGATGGATCAAATGAGTTATTGCTGAGGTCTCTGTAACAGACATGACAATTTATCAGAACACAGAACACAGAACACACATAACTGTAGACAAAATACGTTCTCTAGTCCCGGGAGATTTACACGTAGTTCAGTGACTTCATGTCTGAAAAATTTGGCAAAGATCCTACAAGCTTGTTGTGGGCAAAGTTCCTGAGATACAGAAGTAAGAGATATGCATACATTCGTTAACGATGCCCCAAATATGACCGAACTAGAAATATGAAAACACTCACAGTTCAATGATATTTGTGAGATTACTGAGGTTCTCTGGAACTTTTCCGGTCAGAGTGTTTCTGTCAAGCCGGCTAAATGCAAAGCCAAGAGAGAAATAAGATATTCTTTCAAGATAAGTAATTAAGAAGTATGAAACTAAGGACATAAAGATGGTATATGTTACTCACAGAACCTCTAGCGTCTGAACGAGTCCCAAAGTGGAAGGTATGCTCCCTGTGAATTGATTTCCATCGAATAATCTGACATTTTGAAACAAATAAGCTGTGATGATCAGTTACCATAAGCCTGATAGAAATTTCTATATGATTAAGAGTGTTATTATTTGACTAACACATGGATCAGTATCATCTCAGAGCTGAAAAGTTTTGGTGGGATGGTGCCTGAGAGCTGATTCTTGTTGAAATGACTACAGTTTAAAAATTTTCCTTTTTTTGCATCAGATGAAAGATGGGTCATAATACTCAGACAGAAAACGTCTAATGAAAGTCAAAAAAATAGAGAAATACAAATACACTCACAAGTGTTTGGCTTTTAAAAGAAGATCAAGACCGGGACTCGAGCCTGATGAAATTGGAATGGGTCCTGTCAACTGATTATCCGCAAGATCCAACCAATAAACCTTGGTGAGGTTTCCTAGAGACGCTGGAATTTTACCCGTGAAGTTATTCGAGTTCAAGGCCCTGATATGAAAGTGGGGAAATCTCATCAAACATGATCGGATCTAACATAACATTTTGCAGTCTAAGAGTTTCTTACAAGAAAGATAGATCTTTGAGATAGCCAAGCTCATTTGGGATGCTACCAGTGAAGCCACAGCCAGCAAGTATGCTGAAAGATGCAATACATGCATGTGTTTAGATATATAGATACAAAAGGATCTAGAGAAAGAATTATATGTCTCTTTAAGAGATTCTTTACAGGATGTTGAGCTTTTGCAGGTCTCCTAACCGGGAAGTAAGTGAACCTGTGAGCCCTGGATTAAACGAAAGGTCCCTGATGCAACACAGAATCCCCAATTAAGGTCAGATAACAAAACAAAAAAAAAAAGAAAAGAAAAGATTTTCCTCGTCTTGAGAGACTGACAAGGATCTTAGTTCAGCAAGTTCTCCAATGTCCCCACTAAGTCTTCCTTTGAGGCCCATTGTTGACAAACCCCTGAACACAAAAGACTTGCTTGCTCAGTTCATTATTACCAAAGTAATTAATGTTTCACACACACACACACACACACACAAGTATGATGATGAATGGAGTAATAAAGCAGCAGCACTCACAAAGCAGTGATTCTGGAGTCATTGCAGGAGACACCTTCCCAAGGAGTTCCACAAGGATCATCAGAGCCTCCCCAGCTAGGCGGCGTATTATCCCATTGATCCATCAAAGAACGAATTGCCGCCGCTAATAAAATCCAACCCAAAAAAGAAAAAGAAATAACAAACAAATATTAAAAGAAGCATTTCCGTGGCTCTAATTCAATGCAACGGAAGAAGCAGAATACCATCACGAGGGTCAGTGACTGATGAAACCATTGAGAAAACAGTGAACGAGTAAGTGAAACAGACCAAGAGCAACCCCGAAGTAGCGGTTATGGTGGTCGTTGCAGCCACCATTGTTCCTCAAGAGACATGACTTCTAAAGTTTCCATATTTAAGGTGATTTTTTTTTTTGACAAGGAACAAAATTTGATCATTAAAGTAGCTTCCTTATGAGACAAGATTTATCATTTATCTCATCAACAAGGGGAAATAAAATAATGTGTGTGTAAAGTCTGCCAATAGGAACACGAATGGCACCGAGAAAAGTTGGTTTCGTTTGCTTTCAATCAATTTCCCTTCTCTTCCAAGTCAACTTAACGGTACCTACAGCATTACTGTCTCTTTTTTTCTTCTCAAAATACTTTGATTATTATAACATTTGGGTACAAATATAATCATTTCCAGTTACGTAAACTTAAGTTACCCCCCTTAAGCTCTGTTTTCTAATGAAAGTAACCTTCTTTCATCATTATGCTAAGACAGACGACAGTGGAAGGGTCTATATTTTATTATTATTATATTTAATTTAATTGGTATAACACAACAACATCAACAAAAAAAAAAAACTGAATTAGTGGAAACAGAAGAGAAACACATTATACATATGCAAAGAAACTCCAAGAAAAGAAGAAGAAGAAGAAGAAGAGAAACACTATATATATATATATATATATATGTATTGATATTATATAATATACATTCATAAAAATCATATTGTATGATTATATTTGGTTACATATTACATGGCATGATTAATAGAGATCTTACTACCAAGATAGTGTGGAACTTACAATAATAAGTAGGTCCTGCCACTACCTCCAAAATCCAATCGATCATAATAATAATTTGGAGTTACGCTATTCATTTTTCCATTTTTAGAGTATAATTTTTTTTTTTAAAGTAATTTCTAAATTGGGATGCTTCCATTATATACTTAAATACAACTATATGTTTTAACTGTATACTTAAGTAAAATCATATAGTAACAAAAATTAGTTATTTAAGTGATAAATTTTTAAATTGTAACAATGATCATATATTAAATTAAAATACGTATGATGACATAATAAATGAAAAATTAAAATACATATTTAATATTGAAAGGGAAATTTTTTTCACTTCTTCAACTCAAAATAATGAAAAACAGAGAAAGATGGAAGTATCCGATGTAAATAGTTTCTTGTTCGATATAGACAAAACTATGGTTGTGGAATTATATCTGCAATGTGAACAGTCTCACGTGTTATAGAAACAGAAGAGAAACACTTTATATATATATGCAAAGAAATTCCAAGAAAAGAAGAGGAAAAAAAGTTGAATATGAAAACAAAGAACATGGTGATCATATGAAGTGTTATTTGTTCGTGAATCACACAAGTCAAAGAGAACAAAGAAAATCAAAACCATTTTCTCCAACTAGTTGATCTTAGCTCACCAGAGAAGAACCTTGGAATACTCAAGAGACTGTTAACCCTGGTCAATCCTTCCAAAGCCGACCACTCTTCATCATCCTGTGCAACCGAAATACATTCCGCAAGTGTCATTGTCATCATCTTCTTCGACTCAATCCCGCAACTCTTGGGGGTACTTTCGTCTTTAACCGGGACAATCTCGTCCTCCTCCTCCTTGTGACTGATACTGACACTCTCCGTAGTGTCTTCTTGTTTGTGTAAAACTGCATTGCTTGAAACTTGCGTGCCTGGTGTTAAATCTTGTAGAAATAGGCAGACCACAGTACAGTCGTCGTTTTTGGATGTTGGATACCTGATTCTCCATGATCGAACCGCCGTGTCCACTAGAGCTCGAGCCGCTGTACTTGGACTAGGAGCTGAAGCAACAATCTCAACAGCTTCTTTGTTCGACAACACATCCCATACCTTAATACAGTTCAGAGACACATTCATTATTTTACAAGCTATAAAAAGATTTAGTGGCAAGAAGAAATGGAAGGTAGGTTTAAATTTACCCCGTCGCTAGCAAGAATTACGAACTCATCTCGTTCTGTTAGGCGGCGATAGTTGATATCTGGAACTGAGATTAAACCGTAATCTTTAAGACAAAAGTCGCCAAAAGCTCGAGCCATTGCTAAACCAGGTGAATCGCTGTTTGGTAACCAAACACGAGCTACCTCAGGCTCGTCTTGCAATGCAAAGACTCTTCCTTTACATTTCTGGATCCTCGCTGACTCACCTGAACGTACACATAAAGAGAAAGTAAGATAATATATATTTTCCCTCTGGCTTCTCAGATAGTTTAAGATCAAGACATACTTGGCAAATCGGGTTTTAAGTCTACGGTCAATTGTTCAGCAACCAAAGCATTGTCTTCGTCTCTTGTTGCAAGAACAGCTCTCGAGTCACCAATGTTTCCAACCACCAGATCCTCACCCTAATAGGAAATCGTTATGACATTTCCAAGGGATTAATCATATACAATCGATGAGATTGAAAAGCCAATCTAAGCAAATTTACCTGCTTGATCAAAGTGACTGAAGTTGTTCCGCTGCAGAAACAATCAATAGTTGGATGCATTTTCAGCTCTTTATCTATCTGCTGACAAGACTTGAGCAACGCGTGTTTAAGAGGCAGATACATCTCGGGAAGTTCATCGTTGTTCTCATTTGGATTTAACTCACACCATTGCTCATCCATACTAGTAACTACATACTCCCTTCTCTGCGCTTCTTCTTCCTCTGTCCATTTCATCTGAAAACCATTCTCATTCACTAAGCCGCTTTGTTCTGACTCTGAGGTCAATTTCAATTGTGTTGAGAGTGTGAAGGGCAATGTATCTCTGACTTTCTTCGCCACCATATGACCAAATGGTCCGTGTCCATCGAATACGCCACAAAACACGGTATCGTCTCTCGAACAAAAGTTCTGAAATTGATTTCGTTTTCACAAGTTATATTATTGTCTTTATATATCAATCTAACACTAAAAAGAAGTAAGAAGATATACAATCAACTAACTAGTGGTCCCCTGCAAAACTACAAGTCAAAGACTCAAGACAGCACAAGAAGAACACAAATGGCAAAACAAAGCCACCTCATTTTCAAAGCTCTAAGCTCTGTGATGGTCCCAAAAAAGTTGATATAGACATTTACCGTTCCAACTTTCTCTCACTTCCTAAGCACTAGCAACAAAAGAATAATGCAATCATGTTCTGAAGATCCATTTGATCTGCAACAAGAGACATTTGCAAGAAATCAAGTAGCTTTCCTCAAACATTGAACAGCATTTTCTCACCAAAATCCCTGAAGTTGATGGAATGAGGACAGAATACCCTAAACTGTTCTTTTCGAGTAGTGATCAAATCTGAGTAAATGGGTTGCAAAAACCGAGTGAAAAGATCAAACTTCAGAGAGAATATGAAGATTTTTTTTAGAAACGAACCTCATAAACGAGCATAGCGTCTTGATTGGTTCCTTTCTTCCCTTGCTGTGTGTAAAGACATGCAATTTTACTTGAACCGTTCGAAGTCAACCGACCCAAAACCTGTTGATTCCCTTCGATTTCGCCGCCGCCCTTTAAATCTCTCGGCCGCCGCCACCGTCCGGAGCCTAATCTCTCTTCCGCCGTCTCCGCCACAGAGGCGGTGGTGCTTGTTTCTCCTGGTTCCTTCCCAGTGGTCCTATCTACTGAGTAACACAGTCCCATTTTAAAAATCCGGAGAAAGAGCTCGAAGCTTTAAAAACAAGTTCAAATTTTTTTAAATCCCCGATCGAAATCTACGATTTTTGTGGGGGGTTTTGTCGGCAGATTTACGGTATAAACTCCTCGGCGAGTAAAGAGAAACGAAATCCAGAAAAGAGCTTATAAAGGCTAAAAAAACCGAGACTTGGCCTCTATGAAATCCACTACTTTAGCTTTAGCTTTAGCTTTTAGGACCTGGTTTTCAAAATTTTCTCGGGAAAACTGCAATTTTCTCGGGTAAAAAGACTCGCACTTTTGCATTGCAAGAATCAAAAAGGAAAAGAGAGATAACAGAACATCACATCTGTACAAAAATCAAATTCTTGTGAATTGATTTACGATTCGTTGAACAGAGTGACGCTAATACTAGCAGACCCACAGAGCCCAACGTTCACTTAATCCACTTCATCGTAGAGAAGCATGGTAAAAGGAAGTCGTGATGCAAAGATGAAAGAACAATTGAGAGAGATAGAGACGAAATGATCAGACAAAGGTCATAGTTTGGCCGCACGTGAGATCATCTTTTTTCCCTTTAGTTTGAGATTTTCCAATATTTTTCTGAATAATAATTGTGGGAAATTTGGGTTCTTGGCTGCATCGTACCCTCCATCACCAGAAATTTATCCTATTGCGCGTTGCCACGTGTCAGAAACTCGTATGCCCTTTGTCGTTTTACTGCGTCTAGTGTTTCAAAAATTTATATCTTTTTATTTTTTGTTTGGTTTTGTTGTGGCTCCTCTATTTAATAATTAGTTAATCAGTCACAAGGTCCCTTTCTGCCTTTATTACACCTAAATTCTAAATCTGAAAATTTAGAAAAAATAACTTTTTGTTCAAAGATGATAATTTAAGTTCCCACTTGTGTTAAACTTTTACAGATTTACAAATAACATACTAGTAAACGTTAATAATATTTAACTTAATTACTGCATTTAAGGTGTTTAATCTGGAATCGTTTCTGTTTATACAGATTGAACAGCTTAATGTTCATAAATCACATTATCTTCATATCTACTATAGGTTGTAGTCTAGGACACAAACTAATTTTTAAAAAAAAAAAAAACATGTACAAATTTGAGCATTAAAGAGAAGCAATTACGGCTGAAGATATAGAATTCACGGATTGTGTGTTGGCCTATGCGACACGACGACAAATCTTAGTTGTCCCATTGAGTTGGTGAGAGATGCATTCATTTACACGCATCCAAAAAACCTATAATCTATATCATCATATTAGGAAAAGCTTCTCAATAACCCTTTTCGTATCAATATTGCACATATCATTATGTTACCATGGATATAAAATAGCTACCATGGTACATAATACATATTCCTTAAACAAACCTAAAAGACTAAAAAAAAATTAATACAAAGTGATAGTAGGGAGTGATGTATTTATGAATCAAATTACAAAACATCTGAAAGCAAATCTTAACCTTCATTAGATTTATTATCTTATTGAAATACTTATTTGCTGAGGATGAATCAAACTTCTTCTACCGAGGCCCACACATCTTCTCGGGTTTCTTAGGAAATCAAACCTGGAATTTGAACAGGGGAGTATGAGTTTTTTTATAGTTGAATTGAAAAGTTTGCAGAAAGGATCTGTTAGAGATAGAATAGCTATCATTCGTATCAGGATCATTGTGTTTAGCTACGGAAGCTTACTTGGGCGTGTTCAGTTTTGTACTTCTGAAGCTCTTCTTCTGCACAAATGAGCCTATGGACACACGCGAAAAGAAGAAAGAAGGTTACAACCTGAGAGAGCTACACAAGGAGATGCTTTCGATGGTGGGAAACCGTCGAAGTTACCTCCATTGCAGCTCGGTTATATCGTGGAGCAACTCTTTCTCTCTTTCGTGTGCTGCTTCAAGCTGTGAATCAACAGAAGAACAGTTCTGCTAACTTCCAGTTCTTTGTAGATATGTGATTCAATGCAAACGATTACATACCATGGATTTCTCAGTAGGAGCTACAATAGGTTGTTGTACGCTTCCTTGTTCAACTGAACGTCCGTCTACAGTACAGAAATAAAGGAAATACAAATCCCGTGGCACGAAAAAACGTTATCAGAAGGGGGAATATGGACAGAAAAAAGAGTGAAAGTTGCACGAATTAACCTATCAACTCTCTGTAGGTGAGTACTTTCATCATATGCAGAATGTGATCCTGTTTATGGGACGATGTAAATTATGCAATGAACTTTATCGTCTGTAGTAGATGATAAGAAAGGGAGTAAAATCTAAGCACCAAAAGGCATACCCTTTCCACTATATTGGTTTGCAGAACCGGATACACCAGCGGGTAAACGTATGAGCTGGTTAGATTTGGTAACGTGATGTCAGATCCTGAAACAGAGGGAGGCAGAGAAGCAGCAGAATGTTGGCTGAGCACCTACATAACCACAAAAAAATGTTTTTTTTCTTTCTTTCTTTCACTGAGAAACCTTGAGATGAATAGTTGTGATAATAGATATTGATTGTTGTCTGCAGCTGATCAAGCTGACCTCGAAACTATTACAAACCTGCATGCTGTGACTCTTTTGCAGGATTGGAGATGGAATCGCCACCTGATAAAGAGAAATTGAATATGAATACAAAAGCAAACCTTGAAAACGTGAGTGAACAAACAAGAAACCACTTGAATCCCCTTCTTCCAAAAAAAAAAGTACCTTGTCTATGTCGAGATTTTCAGAAGTTACTTTAAAACGCCCTCTTTGCTGCACAACTGGCGGCTTTGATTTGTCTTCAGAATCATCTAGGCTCGTTGATACTGATACACCATTTATATAATTAGAAAAGCATTGGTCCACAAAGATTTAGATTGGATTAAAAAGTATATAAAAATTCTGTAAATACTTACCTGCTGCTTTTGGGGGTTTAACAGTCAGTTCTGTTGGTACTACTTCATCTCCTCCCACTGTAGGATGTGTCCCATTGCATGTTGAGCCATTTTGAAGCTGATCTTGGGCTTTATCACTGGGAATGAACAGACTGGTTAAAAATTCAGTTCAGTTGATATGAGCTTTGAAGTCAATTTTGATGCTAGAAAAAAAAGAAAATCCAACCTCAGGATTTCAAAGACTTTAAGATGCAGGTAACGGTTAGACAATAAGAGTGGAAATCTGAACAAAACAAAGCTCTTACAATAGCAGTACATGTTGAAGGACTAACCTCTCTCCTTTATTAGGAGCAACATTTCTATCTGCCAATCCACAGCTCCCTGCTAGAATCTCTGTTGGTTGATTGGTTGGGATTGATGTGGAATCCACTGATTTCCCATTGATTGCATGTGTACTAGCAGCACCGGTGTTACTTGAAGATAGATCCTCATGACGGGGAGAGGAATATACGTAGTTATCATAACTGGGGCTGGCAAGACTTGAATCATCATCAGATTTATCCCTGGCCAACCAAAATATTATTTGCTGAGTTCATTCACCTCTGGGAGTTCCAGATAAGTAGATAACGAAATGAAAGTTCCAAACAGAGATCAACAGAGAGAAAGATTAGGAGATGAACCTTGCGATACTTAAAGTTCGGTGAATTAGGGGTTGAAGATACTTATTTGCTACTTGACCAATCTCCTCCTGCAGAGATTAGATTATAAAGAACCCTTAAACCTCGACTAAATAACAAACAAATATGAAAACAAGGAAACTCTCTATCTCTGGAAACTTCCAGAACATTTAGCAATTTGTACTCAAAAAGCTGAATTTTCTTTATACAAGAGGACACCTGAATTTCCGAATCTTGTGAATCTAGAGCCTGCAACGAAGTTGTACTTCCCAATAAACTGTTCTCCAATAGGCCACAGTCTATGTCCTGGATCTGATGGAAATAAGAACATCATAATATAAAGCACAGTGAGCTTTAGAGTTGGCTACTTTTATGGTTTAGAGGAGACCAAAGTTATACCAATGAAGCCTGGGCTTTCATATCATCGAGATTGAAATTCCACCCGCTGATACCTCTCTTATACTCATTCTGCATGTTACTATGATAAGAGGTTAAAGGCTGCAGAACAATTGTAACTGGAAACCAAAAGTCAAAGATTTAAGCATAAATAAACAAAGCCAAAAGTTGGAACTGGAAACAAGAACCTGCGACAATTCCTCCTTCTCTCCATCCGCCATTTTCTCTTGTGCAAGCATATCTTCTTCCTTTTTCTGCATGTAGAAAGCATATCACCATCAGTTTTCGTCATAATATGCTGATTGATAATATTGAACAGCTATGGAATATCTAATTAGTTCTACATATCCAACCTTTATTGCCTGAACGCGATTAACAAGATCTGGTAACCCATCCAGAAGTTTTCGTGCAATGTAATCGCTTGACCTCGCTTGCTTGAAAAAGGAATGCTTTAACAACTTTTTCGCAGATGGGCGTTTGGAAGGGTCTTTGACTAGACAACTGGCAATCATCTGCTTGAAGGACTGAAAATACAAGGAAAAGAGGCAAAATTGAGACGACAATAAGCCAACAATTCTGACCAGAATGTATAGTTTTGACACCAAGAGTATACCCTAGAAAACTTCCTATCTCTTTCATAATCCAGCCCTGGTGGTGCATTTTGCAAGGTCATGAGCAGAACCTGAAACCATATTTGTTTTAGATTGAACTAAAGATTTTGGAGCTGAAATCGAGATATCACAAAGCTATGAACCTTCATTGGTGGATATTTAGAGAAAGGAGCGTGGCCATGTGCAAGCTCTAGCCCAGTTATACCAAACGACCAAATATCAGCCCTGGAGTATATGCTCCAAATCAGAAATACTATATACTCCTCTAGTAAAGATTAGCAAATAGAAAACGAGGCCAAACTAACTTGAAGTCATAACCATGTAACTGCTCCATGACTTCAGGTGCCATCCTGTGAAAGTAAGAAACACCAGGTCATGCACATGAGAACAAAATTTAAACTGTTAAAGTCCTCCAACCTCAGACACAAAAAAAAAAAGAAAAAAAGTGTTGGGGACCACCAACTAGCACTTACCAGCAAGGTGTTCCAACAAATGTGTTCCTCGTCCGTTGCCTATCACCTGAATCAAAGAGACAGGCAGATACACCAAAGTCTCCCAGCTTTATTGCACCTCGAGCACCGAGCAGAATATTGCCCGCCTGAAATGAAGGCAGGATAAAACAATCACGACTAAGGATAATCAATATGGTGTCAATACTATTGTTTATCAAGATATCAGAATAGGAAAGTTAATTCACAGCATCATTTTGATAATGAACAGTGTTCATAACTTGAAAATTACAATGTAAGCTGAGCTAAAAGAATTGGCAAATAGAGGATATCCGACTACTGACTTTGACATCCCGATGTATGTGGCCATGCTGATGGAGATAGTCTAAGCCCTTCAACGCCTCACGCAATATTGTGGCTATAATAGCTTCCTCAAAACCATCAGGATATGCAGCTTTCAGAATGTGAAGACATGAACCACCAGACATGTATGGCATGACGACCCACAAATTATGTTCACTAACAAAAGAGCAATGTGATTTCAACACATTGGGATGGTCAACAAGCATCATCGTCTGCGCTTCACGAGAAATGTTGTTCTGCCAAAAAAGAAAGAAAACGTCATTAGCTTAGCCAATGGAAACAAAAAAAAAAGCCAAAACGAATCATCAAGCAAAGAGAAGAAAGAATCAATCACCAGATCGCAGTTATCTCGTTCAAAATCAAGAATCTTAATAGCAACGACTTCATCGAACGGAATGCACAAAGCACGATGCACCAAAGCACTGACACCTTGCCCGATCACCTCGTAAAGGGTGTAATACTCTGGCCCTATCGGATACTTCTTCTTCTCCATTGTCTCTGGATCCTTGTTTCACTAAAATCAAATCACCAAAAAAAAACCACTCAATATCTAATTCCAAATTCCAATTCTGCGAATCAGCAACAAATTTGGCGAGTTGTGACCTGAAACGATTTTGGAATCAACTTTTTGGGGATATGACCACAACAACAACAAAAGTTGCTTGGATCCTAATTCAAAGTTTACCTGGAATCGAGCAGCGAAAACTCAAACGCAGCTGGCAAAAGTTGCTTGGGTCTTAATTCCAGTCTACAGAAAAAAATTAATTAAGGAAACAAATAAGATTCAAAATACGTAATCTCGTCGTCATTAATTATTATTCGCGTAAGGATTTTTCGTACCGGAAAAATCACGACATCCATGAAAAAATAATCAGAAAACAAATTAAGAATGATTAATGAGAACGAGTGAGAGAGAGATAAGATATCGTGCTGATGAAGATATCGATGATGTTCTTCTGGAACGCCCCTTTTTCTGCTTTTTCGTTGAACTTTCTATCAAAAATTTCTCGAGAAAGATATTGAGAACGAGAAGGAGAGAAGGAGAGAAAGAGTCACAATCGGATCGCCGCTCAAATGGAGAGAAGCTTTTTTGCTGTGAATATTGTTAAATTTGGAATCCCGCCACTTTAGGTCTCTTTCTGCTTTTTTGCCCTTTTCTCTTCTTCCTCCGAATTTCCTTATTTTCTCCTATTATTTTGTAAAATCAAACAAATATTTCAATATTATCCTTAATTTTTTGTATGATTATATACCAACTAATGGACTAAAAAAACTAATCGTCTACGTTACATCTCTTAAATATTCGACCTTGAATAAGATAATTACGAGGTTAAAATTTATATTACTAGTTTTCTTGTTCTAGTGAAATCAACCGAATCCAATACAAATTATCTTATTCAAGGTCGAATAGTTTTGCTATTCAAAACTACTCAAAATTTGTATCAAACCAGAAGGTCATCGGTTCGCCTGAACCAAACGAAACCGGTATGCCCAGACTGGTACAGGTTCACCACTCTTTCAAAAATCGGAAAATCCGTGAATTGTCAAAAATCACAACAACATAGGAACAATGTGGTTATGATAAATATCTATTACACCTTTATGTTTATCCCTCGAGAATAACGTGATCTCTCTCTGTTTCTTTTACACAAATATCTCTCTATCACAAACGTCACAACCGCGCAAATCGTATGAAAACGCAAACGGAGAAATGTAAAATTCAACGAAATAAACCCAAGTCAGGAGTGAGAGAGAGAGAGAGAGAGAGCAAATCCCACACAGTAACTCTCAGAAGATAAATAGATATCCAACAGAAGGTGGAGACTGGAGAGGTAAGAAACGAGGGATAAAGGTAGCTGACATGGCCAAAACTTTTTCAAAGAAGAGAGAGATTTGTTTTGGAACTCAGTCTTCAAAATCTCCTGAGTTCTCCAATAGATAGTTAGCTGCCAATTCCTCGTTACGGTCACATGCGAGGAAGGCTTCTATAACTAAGGCTCTATCAAATCCCATTGCCTCGAGCTGTTAGAGACGTGAAAGACAATGTGGTTAAGAAGGATTCCAAAAACAAAACACAAGAAAAGTGACAACAGTGTTATACAATTAATGGTGCTTACCCGTTGAATCGCTTCTTGCTCTGCTGGCGTGACGTTAATGGCATGTGGCATTTCGGGCTCGGGTTGATCGAAAATGTCTGCATCCCTGATGGGTTTTGTTTCAAGTTTTGTGTATCAGCAGCATAAATAGTTTAATGAAATGTTGACGGACTATGGAACCTTAGAATACGATAAACAGATTAGAGGACTCACCCGTCAGATCCCTCATAGGGCTCGTTTACTAACTGAAGAAACTCTGCCTGATTCTCTTGGATTAGCCTCAGAAGTTGAGGGTTTTGCTTTCCAAGTTCCTGAAGCATGGGCTGGACACAAGACGCTCAGAATCAGTGACAAGGCTTACAAATTACCATGACCAGCATAACGAAAATTAGGCCAGTCTTACCTGGAGAATTTGAGGGTTGGAATGGACCATGGTGCGTAGTTGTTGGAACTAATACAAAATACCAAATACAAGAGAATGAAATTCACCAAAGTTAGAGAACAAACAGTCAAACCATGTAAACACATCTAGCGTATCATCCCTTGTTAGATTGCTATAATAGTTTTTAATATTTCCGCTTAAGGATGTGCTTCTAGATGCCCATCTTTTCATATCCATAAGTGTTTACTCAATATCATGGCTTCGCAATGAGGAGAGATGCGGAAAGTTAGAATATCAACCTGATCATTGTTTCTAAGAAATTCAAGTGTCCCATGATCACCAGTGCCAGCAGCAGCAACTGTTTCCTGGGATAATTAAACCATAAAAGTGAGAAGGTAACACTGGATAACTCTTTTGGACACACAACAAAATACTAATAAATATAACAATACCTGAGGGAATAAATCCAAAGGAGATGAGTTAGGACCTCCAGATGCCGGTGCGACAGGGGCTGCACCAGATCCTGCCATCTGAGCCACAGGTGCTGGCACAGGCACAGCTACTTCAGCATTTTCAGGAATTCCCTACAATTTAAAAAAACAACAACAAAAAATGTCAGTAATATCATCATCTAAAACTACCCCTAGGAAATTATTGTCACAGAGGGAGCCCGTACAGAGTACAGATAATCCACTGCTCTCTCAGGGTTGTTATAAGCTGCACGAAGTGCACGAGCAACTGTTTCTTTGTCCCAGCTTCCACCACCCATCTCCATTAATTGTTGCTCGACACTGTTGCCACTAACCAATGTTGAAGCAGCTTGTCCATAATTGTCAGTCTGTGCCCTGCCACATACCATTCAACTGTGGAGGTATATAGTGTATCGATGAAATCCAGAACAAGTAAGCTATACAACATATGCCAGAGGTCAAACATGGAAAATCATGGAAAACCATAAAAGGGGGCAGTGGGCAAGACCCGCGGAAATTAAAAAAAGAAAGAGAGTAAAAAAAATTCTTCTCCGAAGAAGCTCATTTCTCAATAATAAAACTTACGCTGGTTGTTCTTGAGCATGAATAGGTGAAGCAGGCACAGCTGTAGACTGGGTTGTAGATGTGGCTGCAGGCTGATTATCCAGTACGAGCTTGTATTAAAACAGCCAACGGAACGAGCTGCCCATTGCATATTTTCAAGAAGTAAACAAAAAATATGCAAGAAAGTTACCTTAGTCGAAGATGTGGTAGACGTAGTAGTGGAAGCAGGCTGTGAAATAGAAGGAGACTTTTCCACTGAGAATTAACAGACTAAACCAGTGATATGCAAAAATATGAGAAATAAAGAAGCTACCTGAGCCGACGACTGACCAGCTGAAGCTGCAGTTCTGCTCTACAGTTCATCATAACCAAAGGTAAAGAAAATGTCAGTGCTATGACAAGGTAAACGTTTCATAGCAAGGAAAATGAGCATGAAAGAGACATCTAGCAACACATGCCTAAGGAAACTAATTTATCACCTTTTATCCTTGTCTAAGAGAGTCCCGAGCAAGACCAGAATATCCAATGATTACAGTTCTTCTCTTAGTATCTCTTGAAATATGTCATTGTTTAGGAACTAACTGGCTGATGAAATTTATGTGTATAGGAGAAGGATTTCACTACTGATCTAAGCTACCACTATAATAAGTCATCCAAGTTTGCATGGTTTGACTGTTTGTTCAACAGATAAGACCCGTATCCAAGTCATCCCATGTTAACACATCAAATTTGGTAAGAGCATCTTACAAGAGGATGAATCTTGTCCGTTGATATAAGCTTGTGACAAATGGAAATAACAAGGCTGAATATATGAGATAAAATAAAATGGGGATGTTTGAATATAGTTACCTTGCTAAGCATGACGACAAGAAAACCTTCCTCGGAAACCTTGTTCTCCAACAAAGTAGTTTCATCTTTCAAAACTTTTCCATTGTGAATCAACAATTGCTGCCCACATGGATAATTGTTTTTGCCTTGCGAATCCTCTATATTCTTCTTCACCGCCATTACCTTAAAAAAACAAGCACAACAACATGCCCTTGAGATTTAATGATCCACAAAAAAAAAAAACTGAAGACTAACATTTATCATAACAATCACCAAACCAGATTCATATAACAGAATGACTCGCGAGTCATAATTTGAGCAGCTAGGAAAAGCTATTCAACACACAAATGTCAAAAAAAAATTCGCTCGACATTGTGGATCTGATGCGAGAAGCCTATTTTGTTCTCTCTCTACTTTGCTATAAAAAATTAGTAAGAAAGGAGGAGAGCTAACCGTATCAGAGGACTGAACCCTAATTTCAAACTGACGACCCATGAGAGTCTTAACGGTGAGTTTCATCGTTCGGTATAATGGACGGCGCTGGCTCGTTATAAATTTCCCGATGAGAATCAACGGCGGAGACAGAGAGCGAGGCACTATTGGAGAGATGGAGGGCGACGCTACAGAAAAGCCGACCCGTAGTTGAACAACAAACAGTCTCTTCTATTAAACAGTGAGTGCGTATCGGATTTTAAACGCGGCAAGCGCGAGAGAGATGCAATCCACGTGACACATGTCCTCACAAAATAAACTAAGGGGTATTATTGGAGAGTTGATTTATAAAGATTTTTAGAATTTAAGATTTTATAGTTATTATTTCGTAGATTTTTATATTCTTAATAGATTCCTCTGTTATTCATTTAAAGATTATAAAAATCAATTGTTATTGATATGATGATTTTTATAATCTAATCAAAATCCATTGTTATTCAAAAAGTCTGCATTTAAATGATTCTATGATTCTGTTATAATCTAGTGTTATTGGCATAATGATTCTTTATAATTTAATTCATAAATCATGATTCTCAAAATACTACCTATATCTCTTGGATTCTCAAAATCTGTCATATTAAAAAAATCTTAATAGATTGTTTAAATCCATAGAACTCTCTCTAAATTTTACAAATCCAACAAAACTCTTAAAAATTTGACAAATCTCATGATTTTTAAAATCAACTAAAATCTTCATAAATCTAACTCCTAATAACCCCCCCTAATACAGTATATAACTCTCCGGCATGTGTCTTCATCTTTACGGAATTAGACTCTCTTTATATATAAGGGAGGATTACTACACTAACCTTAGAAAGTATCTATATTACTGGTTCGAGGCACTTTTATTTTTTTTACAAAACTAACTTAGCATACCCAAAACACCCTTTTCGCCTTTGTTGAAAAAAATCTTATTACGAAAATGCCATTACTTTTTTAATGCCACGTAGGCAGATTTATGCGCTCAAAATTTAATAAGTCTACCAAGCAATGGCGGTAGACTTATGAAAATTTGGTCAACGCAGAAATTTTGTTGGTAGAGTTATTAGGGCGATGGTAGATTTATTCAAGAGTTGGTAGAGTTTCTAAATGTTGGTAGACTTTTCTTGGTAGAGTTTTGACGATGAGAGGTAGATTTATTATGTTTCGATAGATTTGTTGTTATGAATGGCAGACTTGTCAAAAGTTTTGGTAGACTTGTTAACAAAAGCGTTGACTTTCTCGCATAGTTGACTTTTTCGATAGATTTATTGACAATGAAGTAGATTTATTTTCTGAGTTGGTAGACTTATTTCCTTTAGCGGTAGATTTATGTGAAAAAAGTTGTCAATACGTGCGGTAGATATATCTGTTTAATGGTAGAGTTATATATAGTTGGTAGAGTTTTCGCTATTGTAGTAGATTTGTTTGACTTGTGGTAGACTTATTTCACTTAAAATTCATTCCGGTGAGTGGTAGATTATATGTTACATGAGGTAGACTTACAAACTGTTGGTAGATTTATTTGTTTTGTGGTAGATATGTTTGTTTTGTGGTAGACTTATATTTTAAATAAATTTCATTCTGATTTGTGGTAGATTAATAATGACATGAAGTAGACTTACAAGATGTTGGTAGATTTGTTTGTATGTTTGGTAGAGTTTATGTAATCTGGTAGACTTATCGGCCGTATGGTAGACTTTGTGAAATAACAATGTGGTAGATTAATTAAGTTTGGTATTTACAGAGTTAACCTTGATCTGGTAGACATATGACATGCTTATGGTAGACTTGTTTATATGGTAGAGTTATTTGTCATATTTGAGGTCGACTTAGTAGTTAATGTTTGGCAGACATTTGACTTTATGGAGTAAAATTACTTTTTTGTCCTAAAAGAATTGTTCTATCTACAAAAAAACCTACTGTTTGGTAGACTTATGGTTGCAGTGTTGTACGTCTTGCAATTATCGTCCATATGGTAGACTTATGGTAACGGTAACCATAAACTGTTACCAACGAACCGTCGCATCGATTTAGAGAACTTCTCTTGATTCATTTCCCAACGAACAGTCGCATCGATTTCGAGAGCTTCTCTTGACTCGAGTTCTCTTGTGAGTTCTCTAAATCGAGACGATTCGAGTTCTTGTGAGTTCTCTATAAATACGACAACCGAGACGATTCATTTCCCATCCCGATTTTCCTATGGCGAATCTCGAGTCGCTTCCTTCTGATCTTTTGTACGAGATATTGTTAAAAATATCTTCAAACTCGTATGCGGATCTTTGTCTTGCAAAAGTTTCGTCAAAAACACTTAACAACATCTCTAACAAAGCGGGTTTTCTTAGGAATGTTGATTTAATCAACATTATCTTGCCGTGGAAGTGGGATGTTCATGGAAGGGTCGGTGCATTCTTCAGTCGGTGCTTGGCGGCAGGAAATCCATCCGCCCAATTGCGAAGAGGTTTATCGCTGATTTTCTTCGAACATAGCCTCCAAGCAGGGTGTGATTTCATTAAAATGGCATCAGACAATGGATTTCTCATGGGTAAGTACTGCCACACTATGTTACATCTAACCATGGATGGCACATCAGAGGTATTCAACTCTGTTAAAGCTCTCTCCCGGGAAGATGCAAAGAAAATGAGATTGACAATGGAAAAGATCTTCATGCCTGCGTTCAATTTCCAGAAGCCCGAGGAACTGGTGGAAATGGTTTTCCAGGCTTATAAAAAGTCTTTAAGTACAAGGATTTGTGGTTGTCTCAAAGTACCAGACATGCAATGGATGGGAGATGAATACCTGCTAGAGACGTATGGGGATTAATTTTGTGAATCCTGCTTCTGGAAATTGGAGTGTGCCAATTTCTGGTGGGTAGTACCGTCGCTTGCTATGGATTGGCCACGTTGATTGCATCAGTAGTTGTACTTTCATGTTTGTTGAAAGACTTCTGTTAAGTAGATTTGTTTTTATTATGAAGTAGACTTATATGAAAGTAATGTTGTGTTAAGTAGATTTATGTGTTATTCATTTCGAAAGCTATTAATTATAACAAATCTACCAACAATATAATATAAGTCTACCATTCGTTCGACTGTAATTGGGAACATGACAAGTCTTTTACAACAAATCTACCAACAATATAATATAAGTCTACCATTCTACTTAATATAAATCTACTAAACATAAGGAAACAGACTTGTACTTAACATATACGCAATGGCTGCAAACACGAACAGCAACGCCAGCATCAAGTAGTGGTCACCTCTGGCGTTTTGCTCCGTCATCCAAACAAAGTCGCCTTGAAGCCGGAGTATCTCATCTTTCATTTCCGGAATGTCTCCGACCAAGTCATTGCATTCCATAGACCTCTCCAATGACTGAAAACGATTCTCCAAACGCATGAAACGAGGATCAAAAGCTTGAGCCCTGCTAAGCTCTTGCAATTTCTCCTTATTTTGCTCAAGGCCAATCTTCAACCGTTCCAATTCCTCTGTAACAGCCTCATCCCACCATTTCCAAATATGGTCTGGATTCCCCTACATACATCAGGCCAATCTCATACATTAAGTATCACAACAGTTAACTAAAGATTAACAAATGGATATTTTTAAGAAAACTTATGACAAATACTCAAGCTATTTACCTTCTTCAACCAGAATGGACAAGTGTTGTACCTACGGCCAGGTGTTGCGGGCGTATCACCAGGCATTGATTTGAGGATCATATCCCGACCACAAAAACACTTCTCTGGAATCCCAAAGTCCCCAAAACCCGACCACTTTAACATATCCATTTCCGGCTCTTCAGAAGAACTGTCGCTATAGCTCGACATTGTCTGTGTCGATAACAAAAGTACTAAACAACACAAATCAAAATAAAGAAAAGTCTACCATAAAAGAAAAGAAAAGTCTACTATAAATGAAAATACCTAAACTCTACTACATATTTAAAAAGTCTACCACTCACACAAAAACTAGGGTTTCTGGGTTTAGGCATACAGGCGCCGATAGCCGAGAAACAACCTTTCGACGACGAAATAGATGCATTTTATCACTTTTACTAAAGCAGGATGACTTTTTCATTGAACATTAACCCCAGCAATGATAGAAAACTCCAATAATCTATAACAAAAGTCGTTTAATGCTATGAACACTAAATGTTTACCGCAGTTATGAATGTTCATACCAAATAATGTGTGGAACCGACAAAGCGAAGACGTCGCTATTACCGTTTGAACTCGCTTATGTCGCAAGACCAGCAGATTTATATCGAAACTCGCTCTTAAGTATATGTTTTCTGCTGGGTTTTCACCTGCTTAAATATACTGTACTTTAGGAGGTAGATCTATAAACAGTACAAGTACATATGTTGGATTAATGGTAGACTTAGTCACCTATATGGTAGATTTGTTTGTAAATTGTTAGATTCAATATCAATGTGGTAGACTTAGTTATCGGGCAGTGCGATTTTACCTTTTTGCCTTGTATGTATTGTCTAAAGTACGGAACAAAACCAGAGTCCATCTTCAACCTCTAGGTTTCGCCGTCGAGCTGTTAAACTTGGGATAACTCTTGCCTGTAGATTTTTTCCTCTCTTTTTGCAACGACATCTCCTTCTACTTCGATCTTGTGCCTCTTATCCACTTTTATATTCATGGATCAAGTTGTTTTGGTTTGTGATAACTAGGTTTTAAAGAAAACGAGGTGGGTCTTCATCGTAGATCAGTCCAGAAGATGTAGTATTATAGGGATAGACCGCAAAACGTCTTTTGTCGATTTGGTTGAAATCGCATATGAAGATTTCGGGTTGGATCAACATCTTTATGAGCTTCAGTTCAGCTATATGTTGTCGTCTGAAGTCCGGCGGAAATTACCTCTGGATACACCTCCTGTGTTTGTTGATAATTCAAGACAGCTGCAGAGTTTTTTGCATCAATTCCAGAACGAAATAAACGGTTCGTTTATGTGTTGAGATTAAAGAAAAAGTTCAGAAGGGAGTTGTTGATGAAGACGAAGATCGAGATGCATGTCCTAGTCTAGTCCCTGAAGAACAAGTGCGCCAAGATCGGCCGCAACAAGGTGTTGAAGTTGGACAAGACGAAGAAATGCATGAAGAAGAAGATCGAGATGCATGTCCTAGTCTAGTCCCTGAAGAAATGCATGACAAATTTGTCAACCAGATTTGATGGATGTG